AACTCTAAAGTACCGCATGGATTATTTGGCTTTTATATTTCTTTATTTACGACATAGCCTTCATTTTGACATACCTACCGACCATTCTATGTATATTTAGGAATTCCATCTTCAAACATCACCTCTTATCTTTTCTTTACTACAGATTTCAATTAATGGTTATGTTGTGTCGAGTTTGTTTTCAAAAGGAAACGGTTTATATCAGTTTTGATTCGGTTCTTTACCAAGGGACGTAAAAAGCTCTGTTGTATCCATTAGAGCTTTTTAACTCATTAAGTCCTTTAGATTCGTCACCTCATAAACCATAAACCATAAACCATAAACCATCCTAAAAAGAACTCTATTCATGTTGATGAGAAACCTAAGCAAGGTCAAAGATGGGTTGTAGCTCACTTAGTCACCTACACTATCAAAGCGAAGTTGGATGACTCCGGTCAAACTGTCATTAACTACGCAATAGTCTGAAATCCTTTCAATCTGACTAAGAAGAAATTTCCCTTACAAGTTACCTTTGCCATGACTTTAAATAAGGCATATGGTCAGACGCTAACGAAGGAAGGATTGCACTTGCACATGCTGGACCCAATTGTTTACACATTCAGTTTTATGTGTCTTGGTCAAGGGTGCGTTTTTTCAGTGAAAACTAAAAACAATCAAAGCCATCTACACAAAAATCGTACATGGCCATATAATTACTTGAAACATAGTGTTCAAAGAGGTTCTGTAAACATTTAAAAACAAAAACAACAAAACATTATATTTTAAAAAGATAAAATATCTAAAATTTAAAACTACATCAACATCTATTCCTGAAGTAAGGACTCAAGATACTTAAATCAATGATGCACTTACCACGCAGTAATAACTGTATGTTGTGTACTTCAATAAGTGGGATTTGAGAAGGATACAGTTTGAATTCTTCGCACAGGTTGGCTAGTACCCTAGTACTTATTATTTGAAAACCTACTATCTATTATAACCACAGTCCTCGACTACCAGTGGTCGAGAGGTGATGCTTTGATATTAAATAAGCTTTTGAGGATTTGATAGGGAACCCAGTTCAAGGTGTATTAAGTAAAGAGCATGCACCAAAAACAACAAACTTCGATTGATTTCTGGTTAATATCATCTGCACATCTGTTCTTGATAATTGGGCTTTAAATAAATTATTGGGGCAAAGAAAATCAGTTTTTAAGTTCCGCAACACAACATAGTTTTGTGTCTATCAATTACTCTCACAACAAGTTATATTCACATGACAATACATTTTTCTAGAGGTTAAAGGAGCCAAAATAAATTTTTGAAATCAAATGAGAGTTCTGCACATATTCACATCGGTGTGAATTTTGGCAGTTAACTGTTGATGCTGTTAAATGTATTGAACTATTTCGCAGTTGATTGGTTTGTCGTTTGATTGCTAGAGTATCCTTGATCCAGATCATAATTTGTCTTGAGAAGTATGGACTTGTCATCAAAAAGGTTAGCATTTTTATACATATTTATCTGTGCCATACAAGAGCTAGGCATTAGTATGGATACCACAATATTTCTCAAATATAGCGTGTTGCCGAAAACAATATAGACTGCTTTGTTAATATTCCTAATTTTTTAAATACAAAATGCTGTAAATCTTTTTTTTGAATTTCTGAACTAAAATACAAAATCGTAGAACAGTGGTATTTTCAAACTAAAACACGGACCGTTTAAAAAAAATTTTCAGACAAAATGTCACACCCAAGCATGTTTAATGGAGGACCTTTTATTAAAAATTTAACAAGTACAAGGGACAAACTTGGGATATTGTAAGATTGTGTTAATTTGCAGAACTTTTCACATCACTAGTACTAATGCTAGCTAGATGGTACAGAGCTCACATGTTGTTGTTGTTTGCGAATGTGTAGCTGAGGTTCCTCTTTGCTGGTCATTCCCGGGCTGACTGCCGAGGAAGCCTTTCAACATCCCCTACTTACTCTCCCCTTCCTTCCACTATGGTTTACAGCCAATAGTTTTAAAATGAATGAAAAACACGAAGAGCTTATACAGGGTGATTGATATAAGTGTACGAGCTGTTTTATTCAAAACTTTAAGAGATATCAAAATAAGTTAAGTGGCAAGTGCCTTGGATTTTTTATTTTAAAAATTGTAGTCGTCAAAAAAAATATTTTAGCCGCCTTTTTTCCAATATGGCCACCAACTTTGATTTTTCTTATGGAACACCCTGTTTCAAAGATAATAATGGTTTAAGTTTATAAATTTCGGCATGAGAAAGAGTTTCGATAAAGGCCTAAGCAAGCATGCCAGCTGTTTTACTCAAAAAATATTTGAAATGTCACAACTTTAACCATTATTATCTTTGAAACAGTTAGGTTTATGAAAAAAAAAAAAAAACAGAGGAGTAAAATTGTCTAAAAATTACATTTTCTACCTGAATACATCATAAAATACAGGATGTTCCATAATAAAAATCAACGTTGGCGGCCATATTGGAAAAATGGCGGCTAAAATATTTTTTTTGACTTGACTAAAATCTATATATATAAAATCCAATGTATGTATGTTTGCTTGTTCTTTATGGACTCCGAAACCGCTCGACAGATTGTAATTAAACTTTCAGGCATTATTAAGCATTATTCAAGGATGGTTTGTGTGAAGTTTGGTGCAAATCCGTCAAAAGGGCTCCGCCCCAGTGGCTCTGGAGTTTCCCATGTTAACCTTATGAGTACTCATATTTAAATGGAATTAAAGAATCTTAACAGCTGGTTCAACCACAATTTGATTCTGTGATGTTCAATAGCATTAAAAAGTTAATAGGTTTACCAACAGGGTGCAGCACTATTATTTTTTTTTTTATTTATGACAACAGCTAATTTGCAACCAAAACGCGAGTGAGTGTAGCGAATGAGCTAACCTGAAGGTAAGTGAGCGCAGCGAACGAGCTCCAACCTAAAGGTGAGTAAGCGTAGCAAACGAACTTCAACCAGGACGTGATTGAGCCATGCAAACGAGCTCATCTTGAAAATGAACGAGCATTGACATAAAACCATATTAGGACAGGACGACGTCTGTCGGGCCAGCTAGTTTTCAAAATAAAAATCCAAGGCACTTAGCATTGAACTTTTTTTGATATCTCTTATAGTTTTAGTTTTCGAATAAAACAGCTGGCACACTTATATCAATCACTCTGTATATTCACAAGATCGTTTTTAAATGCATAAAATTACCATGGGTTCAAATCAATTGTATTGTTGTAACGTAACTTGGAACAATCAAATAAGTCTGTAGTATATTGTAAAAAGTGATTATAGTTTATTTGTTGCTCAGGACTCCATTCTTGGCCCTTATATATTTATACAGGGTGAGTTTTAATTGCCCCCCCCCCCAACTTTTTTCTACATTTTTCAAATATTAATCGCAGACCACTTCCAAGCATTGTTGGGTACTAAGTACTTCATTTTGACAAGGTGGTCATTTCCGGCCGCCATCTTGGATCCGCCATTTTGAAATGTGATAAATTATTCTAAATATGAAGGGGGTGTTGTGACCCATCATTTCGAACTACTTTTTTAAGCTTAACTCAATGCTGCAATCCGTTTTTTGTTATCAAGTTGTATTTATGAAAAATTCCAACTTTTTTGTTAAAAATGTCAATATTTCAAAATCAAACATGATAACAAAAAACGGATTGCAGCATTGAGTTTAGCTTAAAAAAGTAGTTCGAAATGATGGGTCACAACACCCCCTTCATATTTAAAATAATTTATCACATTTCAAAATGGCGGATCCAAGATGGCGGCCGAAAAAAATACATCCGTCATAACCAAGTGAAAATAGGTCGACAATGACTGGTAGTGTATACTTATCTTTATCTAGCACTATTTTGAGATTTTGGTCTTAGATTGTAAATGCACAATGTTAAAATGGGCTAAAAATAAAGTTTTAAAAAGGCCTCATAACTTTAGAATGGATCAAGATTTTTTAAAACGGTTTGTGGCATTGTAATCAAGGTAAAAATTTAGTTCTAAATAATGGGTCACAACCCCACCTTTACATTTGAAAAAAATATTTTGCATCCAATATGGCGGATCCAAGATGGCGGCCGGAAATGACCACCTTGTCAAAATGAAGTACTTACTACCCAACAATGTTTGGAAGTGGTCTGGGATTGATATTTGAAAAAAATGTAGAAAAAAGTTGGGGGAGACAATTAAAACTCACCCTGTATATGTTAATTATCCATGCTATTCATATGAACACCTTTTGTTAGGTGCCTCTCTAACAAGCCTCGTTGACTAAGAAATTTCAACTTCTTGAGGACATGTAATAAAAAGCCTTTACCATAAGTGTGGTAAAAACTAAAGACTATTTTAGTTTCTGGCATCCAATGTGAATGGAGAAATCATTTTATATACAAATTCAATTTCAATTAATTTACAAAGTAATTTAACTACCTAGGAATTGATACTCACTGATTCACAACTTAATTGGCAAATAAAACAAAAACTAAAAAAAGGCAATGCTTCAGCAACATTTATTCTTACGGTAATTAACCTAGGATAGGCGTACTAAAGTCATAGCAGTATGTCCAGGGGCGTGCCTACCGGGGGGGACGGGCGGCACCGGACCCCCCCAGGGATAAACATTTTTTTATATTAAATTCCTAAAATAAAAATAGTGTGATATTTAGCACTTTTTTGTTTTTGTAGATAGCCTAAATCAGCAATATTAAACAGGGATTTACCAAAATATTCCCAGGGAAACCGGTAACCCGCTTGGCGCCCAGGAAAGGCCCTAGCCCCCCCCCCCCCCCCCCCCCCCAGGACAAAATCCTGGGCACGCCACTGAGTATGTCATGGGTATTTTTATAATTTGTTATTGTAATTCACATTTTAATAGCTTGTGATAACTTATACGCTTTATTATATTTTGTGCCCTTTGATCAATAAATATCTCAGCTCTTGACACCATGCAGGCACACAGGGAGTAAATAACTACACACCATACTTTGTAGATTCTGCATCTTTATTTCCATACAACTATGTATTTTTTTTAACACAAACAGTTTTGTTTCATTTAAAAATAATTTTGCTAGATTTTAACAAAGTAAAGGTCTTTTTAAACAATAAAATTCAAAAACATACTTAATAGACGAGGGAATGAAACTTAAACGATTACCTTTTGGTGGGGACGAAAGCAAGCTAGAGCAGGGAGCTACGGGATTGGGTCGCCACCGGATACGGATATGACCAGCTGAACTGTCATGGCACTGGACTCGCTCACTCATTCACTCACTCATACACACTCACAATGGTCAACAATAACAGACATACGTACTTACAAACATCATTGATACAATGCAATTATAACTTCCATACCTTTGGAAGTGTTTGGAACACACTTCGGCTGGCATAGACTACACACATACGAGGGACGCATTATCACACTATCAGGAATAAATCAAGTATTCGGGCGATGGATCGCCGATCACAGTGTAATTTTAATGGTAGCTCAGGTCAGCTTAACCTATTACTAATTACCTAACGCATTCTAAGTTAGTCTTATCGGTTTATCAAAATATAACCGTCCTAAATTGATCCTTAATATACATATGATTAGTCCAATCGTATATAAATAAAAGTACAAAACATATTAAAATTTTAAAAAGTATAAAATTAAAAATTCGTTCATTAACCAAATGGTAAGGACAAATATAAACGCAACGGGAAACATTTTTGTACCGGCAATGACTAAAAGGAATACAATGAGTCCGCGTAAGAACTTTATACTAACCTATCAATCACAGTAACATTTGTGGCATTTGTCAAAATTTATTAAATAAGATAACCTAGTGTTTAAGTCGTTTAGCTTATTTACCTCCGAATAAAATAAGTGGCTTAAGTATATTTAGACAATAAACCTGCTACGGAAATGAATTTAAATTCGACAAGTAATAACATTTACAATAGAAATGGTTCAAAACGAGGTTAAAACATGGAACAATTTTAATAAGGAAACAAACTACAATAGACATGACTGAGTTAAGAAGTCTTCTAAAGACTAGGTCGCGATTGCAGTCAAAACAACTTTGATTATTGCTTTAAACTAAACAGTCTAATTTGGACAATCCTACTTAAAAATTAAATTCACACTAAACGACGTGCGAAAATCTTTGGTTGAGGAAGCAACAAATTAACCTGAGCTATAAACCAAGGCACTTCAGTCGAATGTAACAAATGTTTTTTATCAGAAGAGTGAAGCACCTGTTGTAGTCGGAATGCATCGTCATCTCTCAGTAACCAATTGTAACACTGGATATGTTAGACGTTTTGCCGGATACAGAGCTGACCGAATTAATTTTCCTGAAGATATAAACAAGGATAGGGAGTCCGCCCCTCTTATCACACGCATACGTTCGTACGCACAACACTGTCGTCACTTCACACTTTACTTGCACTTCACTGGTCGGAAACTGCTGCCTGCTCCAACCAGAGTTGTGTGGGGTTTTTATGCAGAAGACAACCAAAAAGTAGGAATACAACGACAGTCGGTCCGTTTCTACATTCTAGGTTGGATCTGCAAAGAGGGAAAACTTCTTTAAGATAAAAATTCTACAAATTTAGCTAACACAGATATTTTGGTATTTTTTTCTTTTGACTGTATGTGATTTTGTAAAATAATCAAAAAATTGTAAGAGCTCTTTAATAATGCTATTTTCCCCACTTGTTTTGATTATTGAGAATGCAACGTGATATTTTAACAGTACAAAAGCTGGAAATTTATCATTTTATTTTTTAAATCAATTTGAAATAGAAAGGATTCAAAAATATGAATCAGACAGCATTTTTATAAGCAGTGGCAACTTTTCCCATTCAGTCATCAACTGTATCATTTTCACCTCGTTTCAACCACGCTCCTTCCACCAGTCATACTGCAATCGCTAAAATCTCACAATAATGTTAATATTTTGTAAGATTCTCTGCAACAAAGGTACATTCACAGCCTAAGTTACTCAACTTTCTCCTCAATATCACCCAAGTTATATATTTGTACAACATAGATCATCAGTTTAGTTAAATAGTGAAAATAAAAAAAATAGTCACTGGAACACTGAATAACAAAATAACCATGTACATTGTACAATAAGGAGCTTTGGTTTGGGTTTATGTAAATGTTGGACCTGCAATTTGGTCTTCTGATATCACAGCTCATAATTGGTTGGCTCTAAAAAAAATAGGAAAGTACTTTGCTTTGCTCTGAATTTGTTTAGTATTATTAAGTAACTTGAAGTAGTTGTCCAAAACCGCTTTCAAACACTACTTGTTGTACTTTCAAACAATTTGCTTTTCATAGTTTGTAAATTAAAAACTTTGATTTATCTGAATGAAATGTTTTATATTTATCTTAATAGTTTATGTTATATTATTATATAAATTAATATTTGTTAAATGATTGTCGAGTTTGTTGCTTTAGACTGTCCCAAACTATACAACAATTATAAAATGAGGTTGAAAAGTCATAATTAGTTATTGTCCCTTGTTCATTGTTAACAACTCGTGTGTACTTAGTAGTAACTATGATTTAAGTGCTTCTAATTGCCAGGGAAAAATTCAACAATCAAGCACCAAGTTAAAAGAATTTAAGTGTTGTTCTTTTAGCTAGTCATTGTATTAAACAGCTCTACAAATTTAAAAAAAAAAAGTGAAAAAGCCTTTTGCAAAAAGTAAAACAATTATTCATGTTTCATTTTATAAAACAATAGCTCTACAATAGCTTAAATCAGAGCTAGTTAAATTGCAACAGACTTTGAACTAAAAGACTTTATTTTTAAACAGAATAAATAATACAATTAATTTTTGCTATTCAAGCCTAGTTAGCATATTTTAAATGTATAACCAACAAAATAATAAAACATAAAAACATAGAGATTCTCTGTAATTATTAATAGGTATATTTTATTATTTTACAATAGACTGATGGTCCAAAACTAACTGTTATGTGTATATTGAATTTAAAATTAACTAAAAATAAGATTATAACTTGTTACAAGGAATTCTAAACCTTATTTACATTGTACACAATCTGTAGTTTAAAAAGTTTAATATATCCAGAAACAGATTTATGATCTTATACTCAGAATCACTCATGAGTAGAATGAGATATTTATGATAAAACAATATTACGATTGCACAATTAAAACCTAGTAATTTTAATTTTAACTATATTACAATCATGTACAACTTTTGATTAACAATTTATTTTAAAATTACTAAAACACAATCAAAAGATTTTACAGATATTATAATTTACAAATAATGTACAGATATACAATATAAATTTAGTGAAAAATATGCACATTGCAAATGGAAATATTTTTGTGGTTCAGTCTTTGACTCTCTTCAGCCTCAACTTCGCTAGGACCTAGTCTACAACAGAAACCAGGAAAATAAAGTTGTGCGTGCAACAATACATTAGCTACTCATAACTATGCGTTAACAACCTGCAGTAAACGAAAGCAGGGAATTGTGCTTTAACTTAATTGATAAATTTGTCAAATGTTTACCATATAATGTATTAATAAATAACAGGAAGTGTTCCAAAAATATTTAGGCCTACCTATATAAAAAGTATGTAAAAACCTTGTAAAAAGACTGTACTCCACTTGAAACATTCCAAGGTGCAAACGTCATGCAAAACTAGAAGTAAGATTGAATTAACAGACAAGGACATACATCGGAGAAGGTGAAACCCCAGTCACTCTACAACGCATCGGACTTTCATCTCAGGGACCCTGCACGCTCAAATTCAATGGTCTCGCACTAGTGACACAACAACACCATCATCAAAACAACCACTGACCTATTAGTGAGATACTACAAGGGCTGTCCGTAAATTAAGGTCTCCATAATTGAGCTCCTGTAACAGCTGATTGGGCTAGCTCTAATCTGAGATCACCGTTGTGGTACTTTACTTCATCCACAACCATTCTAGATCAATCCTACCAATATGGAACGATATAGTCTAGTCATAGTATCTAAAAGGAAGTGAAGGAAAATCTGTGCTCCCGCCAAGTATCAATCATGTTCTATGGTTAAAGGTGTTAACCACTATTGAAGTCCAATTGATCGAACAGCCCCAATAATTGATAGACGTATATGAGGAAAGCGTTTGGACGTTAAAAAATATGAAGGGAGCTCGCAGGTTGTCGTATTTCATCAGTATAGTTGGAGGCAGTGACCTAGATTGAGGGAATTTTGCATGCCGATTGCAGTGTGACTGAACATATTTTAACTTTTTAAGGCAACATATTTCAGACGATTACCAAAGTGACAGAGGTGGTCTGTATAAAACTACCAAGGAAGAACAACGGTAAATCCTAGTAGTCTTGCCAACCAGTAAGCAATCATTCATAAACTTGCCTCAATGAAATCTGATCAACACCCCCAGTCAGTCTAATTTTACAAATGTGTACAGCCATCTGACAACTTTTTACGCCACATTTTTTAACTTTTTAAGGCAACGTATTTCAGACGAGGTTGACCCCCATTCTTCATCAAATTCATATTTGGCAGGAGCGTAAATTTTTCTACACAACATTATCACCTACTTTGATGAGACTAATATGGGTGAGATTCACTTAGAACAGTAGTGCATGAATTAAGAACTTGTCTCAGATTTGATCCAACTCAATTGGACACGACAGGAGACTTTAATTTACAGACAACCCTCGTAAAATGTTGACTTGTGATCCTCGATTCAAGATTTGATTCTGATTCCAGAAGATGAAAAGTAAATAAAAAAATGTAGCAGTTTAACACTAACTAAGAAAGATTCATAAATTATTTGCAGTCCTTCAACATTTTAAAAGTTTAGCGCGTAGTATTTATTCATAACAATCATAATAATAGATTCTCTATTCACCTAAGCTATAACTGAATCTGCAAGAGTATCAATTTTTATTCAAATAAAAAAATTTAAGACTATTTATCTTTATTCCTGAATTTTATTGCAGTCCCCTAGTTTTGGCTTTTTTTACGCCAATCGATCTAAACCTTAAAACGGCACTGTGTTTGCGTGAGATTATCACAATTTTCTGCCATCTCAGAGATTGGTTTGAACTTGGAAGTGATCACATGCAGAATATTATCACAAACATGAAAGATCACAATTTTCCTTCACAGGAGATTTTGGGATGGAACAGTCATAATATTGTATTGGTCATAATCCATGGAATTGAAGAATCAAGAATCAAACTCGGATAATTCCTAGTAATAAGTGTAGAAGGTATACAAGAAGTTATCTGATCTAATCTTTAACCAATCTTATGACACAATGAGTTACAGATCGAAACCTTAAGGTACTGAATGTAAACCAGAATGGAATAATTGAAAATATAGACACAGTCCTCTTGGAAAACTTGTTCTGACTGTTTTTGTTAAAGTTCTTTTTTTATTTATTAGTTTTTGTAGGCTAAAACTTGTATGTTTAAACTATTGTAAACAAGTTGTTGATATTTAGTAAATCAATTCGTAGCATTTTCCGAGCAAAACATTTTTATACCCAGTTAAATAGTATTAAGTTTAACAAATAAGGGTTTTGTTCTTAGGGGTTCTTTGTACAGTAGACTGCTGGCTCTATAGAGTGGTGGGAAAGATTAAACAAAGTTACAAAAAGTCTGTGAACAAGCCTTTCCCATAATGGAGTGGTGTGTGTTTTTAACTGGAATATGTATATCTTGTACTAGGTCATTTAAGTAAAGAAAATGGATAAATCTACATCTTTAAATATTAAAGTCTTCTACTAGTTTGCCTTGTTTACAACTTTATGAGGAAAAGTTGTTATTTTCATAGGAAATTATTTGGCTTAAAAATATTTTTTGTTTGTTTATCAAGTTCAAAAAAGTCTTGATCATAGAGGAAATAGCTACTATGCTTTACACGGAGAGAATAAAGATCCAAGACATAAAAATAATTAATAATAAAATTAAAAATTTAAGATCGCTTTTTGCAATAGAGGTTTTATAGATTAAGTTTTCAAATTGAGCTTAATAATAGAAAATCGCTTGAAATAACCAATGCATTTTGCAAGACATAGGGAAGACTATTTCACTCAGTTTTCACTTCTTATTCCTTTTTTTACACATCACAATCTGATGATACATTTTAACTGATAGAACAAAAATACGTCAAATATCATTTGTAGTAATACATTTACACGTAATACATTTACACTTATATTGTAAATACCTCAAAAGACGGTAAATATATATATATATATAAGATGGTAAGTTGTGATCGATTTTGATTGGACACTCTAATCATCAGACAAAATCGGCGATTGGCACTCGTACGATGCTTTTTTTACAAGAAATTAGGTAATTTAATAACACGTACGATGCTGATCGAGGAATTATTTAATACGTTTTAATCGGTTAGGAGTTTCTTCAAAAAACTTCATCTCACTTGACTACTTAAACAGGATTTTAACGCTCAGGGTTAGTCTTCAAATTCAACCATATGAAAGTACAACAAACACGCAAAATGCAGGTAGCATGGAAAAATATTATTTACAGTATATTCTACTGAAGAAGCTGATGAAATATGAAATTTGATGTCATTAAAAGTGGTGAAAGTATTTTCTAAGCAAAGTTAGTTGTGGGTGTGTTCCTTCATCCTAATTTATTCCGAAACGTGTTTTTTCCACACAAACCAACGATTTTAGTGCCAACACCAACCATAATTTACCCCCCAAGGAAGATTTTTCTTCTGCAGTCCTTTGCCCTGTCCCCTGGAGGCCAATTTGGCCCAAATATTCTTCTGCAGTATTGTAATACTAACCAGCTAGAGGTGGCAGCTTTGAGCTTCCTCATTTCCTTGGTAGCCCAGGTGGCCAAAGTCTTGGTTTTTGAAACTCTAGATCTTCTACCCTGAGTCAGCAGTTCATTCACCGGATCAACGTCAAGCATTGCAAACAGCTTTGAACCAAATGCAGAGCAGAGGTCCCTAAAATGTTTAAAACATAACAACCATTATTAATTTTAAATTTAAAATAACAACAAACTTAGAAAGGTACAAGCAAAGTATCCAGACTAGATCGAGGGGATCAAAAGGGAAAAACTATCTTTGTGTGCAACCACAGAAAACATACTACAATAACCCAGAATGCCAAACGCATGGTAAAAAACATTAAGTGTTTTTTTTTTTTTTTTTTGTGGCAGCACTGCTATGCCGAGTGCATGGCAATGCTGGTGGCGCCACCTACGAATTGACAGGCAAAGCTCTCTCAAAACACTTAATGCTTTTTACTATGCGGTTGGAATTCTGGGTTATAGTAGTATGTTTTCTGTGGGTGCAACTCAAAAAATGTGACATGACGAGCTAGTTAAATAACAAGCGATAATAATAATTTATATTTATTTACAACTGTTTTCACGCATAAACTCACAAAACCAAACCAAATACATAAATTTTACAAAATATAAATTTAGGTTATTGATTACATTCTGCTTAAAAATTCTGTATGAAATCAAGTTTTGGAGTAGCTGCTCAAACTCTGAAACCATAAACGGAATTCAAAAAAGAATTCTTAGAACTATGAGATTTTCAAAACCCAGATAATCTTGTTAATCACACGACCCCAAGAGATGATCAGAATTTTGCCACGATCGCAGAAGACGAAAATTATGCCCATATGACCAAAGATGATTAGAGTTTTGCCGCAATCACGGAAGACGATGGTAATGTTTCTGTGACCAAGGGAGACGATTATTTTTCTGTTACCACTGAGCAGTAATCAGGATAATGTTCTGTGACTGTGAAAGATATTCATAATTTCCAGTGATTGTGGAAAACGATGAAAATTAGACCAAACAGTTATACAAACTAGGTTTGTTTCGTTCAAGAAAAGGCTCTAGGCCAAGATTTTAATTTTCATAATAAAGAGATAACAGCTGTGCTTACACTTGAAAAACTCCTAGGAATTGAGATATTGTCTTACGTATACGTTCTATCGCCTACCTGTATTTATTCTTAGGTAAGCTAGATGTTATCCCTTCATTTTACTAAAGGTTTAGTGTACTGACCCAATCAGCCCAGCACACGCAGCAACGTTGCTATCTGCCTTATCAGTGTCACACGCGACCAGTGTGATGAACTGAATGATGAACGGTACGTGGGGCTCCAACAGCAAAATATCAGGGTTAGGCGTAGGCCCATCACCCTTCAACCCCTGAATAATGCCTGTGTATGCCTCCAATATACCTTCCCTCAACTCATTCAGATACTCCAGCATGTCAAAATCAGTCTGCCAACATACATGACAATTGTATAAGCTTCTGACAATTGGAAAAAACAAGGCTTCATTTCTAAGATGTTATTAGTTTTGTATTTTTGGATTCAGCAATCAAACTTGGTACTATTAATGTGTTGGCTACCAACATGAATTTTTAGTAGGGATGGACGGGTCCCGAAATTTCGTGAATTTTTCGGGAAAAAAATATTCCCGATTATCGGGACGGGATTACATTTTATTCGGGAATTTTTCGGGACGGGATTTGGTCCGATCGTCGGCGATTTTGCCGCTTTGCGAGTGACGATGACGTCGCTATTGCGAGAGATGTTAACGATAGGTCCGCGAACGCAGGAGACGAAGCCATAACAACGATCGCGCCGTCGCGCCGTGACCGCAGAGTCATACCGACGACCCCCCCGTGATCGCACCGTGACCGTGGAGTCATACCAACGATCAATTGACCGTGACCACGAGTCATACCGACAATCACCTCGTGACCGCGGAGTCCCACCGACGATCGTGCCGTGACCTCGGAGTCATACCGACGATCGTGCCGTGACCACGGAGTCCTACTGACGATCGTGCCGTGACCTCGGAGTCATACCGACGATCATGCCGTGACGAGTCATACAGACGTGACCGCGGAGTCATACCGATATGATCACGCCGTGACCGCGGAGTCATACCGACGATCATGCCGTGACCACGAGTCATACCGACGATCACCGGCCGTGACCGCAGTCATTTTGACGATCGCACCGTACCCACGAGTAATTTCGACCGCAAGTCACAAGTTTCTATAGGTACCTGTAAATTGTTACCCATTTTTTGGTTTTTATAGATCAGTTCCACAAACGGTAAAAATTGATTCCGTTTGTCTTTTTTGGTAACTGCAATACTAAAGACTTTCTTTTTATGCACAGAAAAAAATCCCGTCCCGTCCCGAAAATCAGGAAGGAAATAATAATCCCGTCCTGATCTAAAAATTTAATCCCGTCCATCCCTAATTTTAGCTAAAACTTGGGAGCATAATCCCGATTATATTGAAATACAGTGGAACCTCGTAAAAACAAGACCTTCGATAACAAGTCACCCTTGATAACAAGTGTAATTTTTAAATCCCCTAGAATTTAATTTTATTTACCTGTAACCACATGTTATTGCAAACCTCGGGAGAAGTCAACAATGATAACACGTGTCTTATTTAACAATTCCCATTGGCCATTAGTCTTGTAATCGAGGTTCTACTGTATAGCCTACCCAACTTGTAAAAACCTCAAAATTATATGTCTAGCCACAAAAAATAAAAACTTTTGCTGATCAATTGGTTTTGTTAATCTTTTTCTAGCACTTTTTTTTAAGGTAGAATATTACCCCTAGCCAAGATCAATAAAGAAAATAAATATATTTTTTTTTAGTTTCTCACCCTATCAACTTGTGCCTGTGAAGCCTGTACTAGAGTTTGAAGAACAACATCAAGGTATTTCTTGAACTCATGACCGATACTGAGGGCGATGTCACCAAAAACTGACAGAATCTGTGGTTTAACAGACCTATGCACTGTATTGTCCTGGAACATAATAAATAAATCAATAATTTTTACTCACCCAGAAATAAAAATTTGACAGGCAAGTTGAAAATTGCAACCTAATGGAAAAATCCTTTTGATTAAACGCTTGTAGCAATAAACACAATTTTTAACTGTGGCATAATAGAAATAATAGTTAATTGCTACTACATATAGTTGATTACTCACCCCTAGATTTTCCAGCAATAGAGTCATTATTTCATCACAGTAAGGTAAAGCTTTGTTTTTTAAAGCTCTGCAGATGTCTCCAGTCAAACCCACAGCTGAGTTGCACACCTAAACAACCATCAAGAGATTTCACATTCGAGCTTGCATTAATCATCAACCTACTAACTAACCAAAAAAAGAAAACCAGGATGTCTAAAAAATCACTGTACTGTAAATAAATATACTTGACATTCTCACTCTAGTGATTTTAATGAATTCCTATAAAGTGGACTCCCTCTTATCCGGACTCCTCGGGACCAGGCCAGTCAGGATAACGGGTTTTCCGGTTAAACCAACGTCCCCAAAAACTTGTTAAATGTAACCCGAATATTTGACCTAAATTTAGGAGAGCATTGTGAATTTAGACACGTGATCACTGGTCTCAAATCTTTCCCGGGAGAACAGTCGTTTCAGTACAGCCCACTTCCTGCCGATCTAGTCCAGTTAAACCAACGTGCCGAGTGTAGTCCGGTTAAATCGATGTCCGGTTAAAAGGTGCCCGTATAAGAGGTAGTCTACTGTAATATGCTTTATATGTTTTTTGTATTTTTTTTTGTATTGATATTTAAGAAGCAATGAGTAGGTATGAGTACCCATATATTAGTACGAGTATTGGTAATGAGTAGGTTTGTTAGGAGAGAATATAAATGTATAACTGTATAGGCCTATATAGTAGACTCCCTCTTTTCCGGACACCTTTTAACCGGACTACACTCGGCAGAAATGACATCTCTTTAACCGGACAATTTTCATCAGCACATTGGTTTAACCGGATTAGTTTGGCAGGAAGTGGGCGGTGCTTAAACAGCTGTTCTCTTGGGAAATATTTGAGACCACCAGTGATCACGTGTCTAAATACAATGCTCTCACAGGGTGTCTAGTTTATTTCCATTATAAAATTCAAGACTAATTCCAGACTTTTCAAGACGAATTCCAAATTTTTCAAGACTAGTTTTTCAACAATTAGTGGGTGTTGATACCAAAATGTATTGATTCTCAATTCTTGATACCGATACCAATTTTTATAGCTTAACCAAATTTTCTAAATAATACTACACCAACCTGTCTTTGTCATAAAGTAGTATTATGATAATGTGGTGTTTTCAAGTAAAGAAATAATGCAGCAATAAAAATTTTTAACTAGCAAATTTGGTTTTTTTATCATGAAATCTTCCGCGTACCGTACGTTTAGACATCATCATCGACTGCAGCGGTTACAGAAACGTGATCGTCGTCGTCCGCGATCACGGCAAAATCATGAATATTTCCCGCGGCCTTGTAGACATCATTGTCACCTCCCGCGGTCACGGAAACGTCATCGTCGTCGTCCGCGATCGCGACAAAATCAAGAACATTTCCCGCGGTCGAGCAGATATCATCGTCGTCTCCCGCGGTCACGGAAACATCATCGTCATCTCCCGCGGTCACGGAAACGTCATCGTCATCTCCCACGGTCACGGAAACGTCATCGTCATCTCCCGCGGTCACGGAAATGTCATCGTCATCTCCCGCGGTCACGGAAACGTAATAGTCGTCGTCCGCGATCGCGACAAAATCATGAACAATTCTCGCGGCTAAGCAGATATCATCGTCGTCTCCCGCGGTCACGGAAACGTCATCGTCGTCGTCCGAGATCGAGGCCAAATCATGAACATTTTCTGCGGCTGTTTAGACATCACCGTCATCTCTCGTGGTCACGGAAACGTTATCGTCGTCGTCCGCGATTACGGCAAAATCATGAACATTTCCCGCGCCTGTGTAAACATCATCGTCGTCTCCCGCGGTCACAGAAACGTCATCGTCATCTCCCGCGGTCACGGAAACGTCATCGTCGTCTCCCGCGGTCACGGAAACGTCATCACCGTCGTCCGCGATAGCGACAAAATAATGAAAATTCCTTGCGGCCGTGTAGACATCATCATTGACTTCCACGACCACGGAAACGTCATCGTCGTCTCCCGCGGTCATGGAAACGTCATCGTCATCTCCTGCGGTCACGGAAACGTCATCGTTGACTCTCGTGGTCACGGAAACGATATCGTCGTCGTCCGCGATCGCGATAAAATCATGAACAATTCCCGCGGCCGAGCAGATATCATCGTCGTCTCCCGCGGTCACGGAAACGTCATCGTCGTCTCCCGCGGTCACGGAAACGTCATCGTCATCTCCCGCGGTCACGGAAACGTCATCGTCGTCCACTATCACGGCAAAATCGTGAACATTTCCCGAGGCCGTGTAGACATCATCATCGGCTTTCGCGGTTACGTAAACGCAAGACGACGATCGCGGCAAAATCATGAAAATTCCCGACTTTGAAATCAAATTTAAGACTAAATCCCGACTTTTCAAGACCATTTTGAAATTCAATACTAATTCCCGACTTTCCCGATTTTCCCGACTACTAGACACCCTGCTCTCATATATTTAAGTACAATATCACAGTAAACGGTCCGTTTTAAGGAGATTTTGGGGACGTCAGTTTAACCGGAAAAACCGTTATCCGGACTGGCCTCGGTCCCTAAGAGGGAGTCTACTGTACTAGTATATTTCATAACAAAGGCGTAAAAGTGACTCTTTTCGACCCTAGTTCAAGTTTCACAGCCGAGGTTGGAAAATGGGCGAGAGTTAAAAAGACAAATTTGCTGTACTTTTGTTGTCATAATGTACCATTATTTACTAAATAAAAAAAAGAGAATACTTTTCATGGAAAAATAATCTCTCAAAACGACTTGAAATTGTTTTCAAATTTGCTATTGCAAACAATTCTGTTTAATAAGTGATTCAATCATTTAGTCTATTGCGATTGTGTTACTACTAACAATATGTCGAGTTATAAAAAAAAAGAATGTGACAATAAGCTACAATCGATTAAAAACACTTTTGATAGATGCCATTGCTTTTAATCAAAATTTACAACCCAGTTAACAACAGCTCAATTTTCCTCCTTAGGGACTAAAAAAGCGTTTTACTCCTTAGAGAGAAGAGGAGCTACTTTAGGACCCCAAGGCATGAGTTAAAACCACTGCTTTTCCTGCAGTATGAAGAAAACATTTTTTCCGTGTAAAATAGGCTATATACTGTAAGCCAAATTTATAATGATCATTAGACCTATATTGTTTCAAATTTTTTGAAAATGAAAAAGACATATCTATTTATTTTCATTTACATACACTATTCTTCATTTGTCAGAACAAATGATTTGGCCACATCTTTTTTAAACAAAGATTTCCGAGTAGGAACAGTTGCTGTCTTTACCTGGTATTCAGCGTGGTTCTTCAGACCCAGACACAGAAATGGTTTGAAGGCGTCCATGTACTTGAGGAACCCTTCTCCCAGCACCTCCACCAGGGTAGACACAGCCATGATGGCGTCTTCCTGAACACCCCCTGACTTGCATGTGTTTGAGTTGAACATTTGCAGCAGAGCAGTCATGATGGCGTCAGAAATCTGCGGTGCGTCGTCTGGCGTCACTTTGCGAAGTACGCTCTGAATGACAATTACAGTTTGACTTATTAACATTTTGTTTAAGCGATCCGTAGCCTAGTACCTTTTCAAGCTATAACTGCTCCTGGTAAATATGCCAGGAAGTTTGTTTGAAAACCATTGATTTAAGAATTGAACAATCAAATGGAACCGTCATTGTTAGTTTGGTTGAAACTTTTTTTATATATTGTTCAAGTCATCAGCAGGCCAGTGGAGTACATAAGCTGCATTGTGCAAGGTAAAGTTAACTACGATCGATAGGCTTCAGAATGGTGATGTGTCATAATCAAATTTCATAACCAACTTAAAATACCCCCGCCGCAGCAAACCTGCAGACTAAGCGAATTTCCATTTCCCTGAATGGATTTACACTAAAATGTCTCCTTAAAAATATCACATTTATTCCCTATTTAAATAGAATCAGTTTAAAACATACTTAGGTTTGCTGCAACAAGGAGGGTAAAAGTGTTTTTTATGTAAAATGTTAATAGTTAGTAAGAAATAAAAACATTTTCCAAATTTGGGCAAAATATGTTTATAAACAAGCAAACTACAACAGTTTACTTATTCTCCATAAGAATAACATGGGAATTTTAAATTTACAATTTTTTGGAATTTTCTCCGTAACCATTAGGCGCATTATAACGCTTCAATATACTAAATTATTTGTTTTTTTAAGCTCTACAAAATAGATTTGAAAGAAATTGCAAAATTTTATGTTTTTTGGGTCAAAAATTTCTATATGGGGAAAAACCCATTTTTACCCCATAAAAGCCCCCATAAACCCCCAAAAGCCCCCATAAACCCCCGTTCCCATGGTCCGATCATGCTGGTTCGCGAACTCGTTCGAATAAACGTAGGTTTACACGTTTGTACCAAATTTCATCAAAATCGGATCATTTTTGCTCGAGTTATCGCGCTAACGGACACATATAAATATATATATATATATATATATATATATATATATATATATATGAATTTGAACGGATGGTGTTTTTGACCTCTAGGGACCTCAAATCGAAAAAAAAAATCGGTCCCGGGTCCAGGTCTTACCGTGAGTACTACGGTAATAGCTTATTCCCTATATGGGAAATTCGCTAAAAGTTTTGTTTTAAAAATCAATGAGTTTTAAGAAGAATCAAAACCAATGTTGATGAAACAAGTAATTTGTTTTATTAACTGCAACAGGTAGGTTTTTTTTAACTTCTAATACAACGACTTGTGTACAATGCGGTTTCATATTGATATTGTTTGAACTCAAATCATGTTTTAATTTATCTTATACTCATGTTTATGTCAGGGTCAGGAGTCCAATTTCATTAAATTGTGAAAGCAGAGTAAACATAAATTATTACCTGTATTTATTCACAACCTTAAGTAGGTAAATAAAATGTATTACTTTTAAGTATCAAAATTCAAGATTCGGGATTATAATTTTAGTTTGATTTTTTAGATTGTCTGGTTTGGTTTGATGATGTGTATGCGTACCTGTAGAGTGGCACACAATAGACTCTGCAAGTCGTTGTATTGCGCTCGGTCTGTGTTGCTCTGTATGTGGTTCTCCATCTGCAACACCTGGTTGAGCCTCTCCAGTATCACCATGGTAGTACGCTGCACTGTCACATAGCAGTCGGCTGGAGAGTTCTTCACCATCTCCATCAGTGCTTCATACGCTGCTGATCTCAGATTGGCCTGCAGACATGCAATAAATAAGGTTTGGTTTAGGAATTAAGACTATATAGGCCATGATTGTGATTTGTAGAAGGAATGGAAAAGAAATATTTTTTGACCCAAAAATCCAAATAAACTGATCAATTTGGGTTATTGAGAAATATCCAAATCATAACCCTATTTACAAAACATCAACAATTTGTAAGGGAACAAACCTGAGCTCCATCAGGCCTATCCGTGGTCTCCAACAATCGTGCGATGATGAAGTCAAAGTATTCAGACAGGCAGTATGTCTCTGGTTGTGCTCCCTCCTCATTACCTTCCACAGCTTCGTAAGCAGCCTCCGCCAGTCCAGTGAAAGCCCAGCAGACGTTGGTTGCTACTCTCGGCTCCGCCTTCAGTCCATTCACGAGAGACTCTAGCAGAGGTTTCAGGTAGTTCTCGTTTATTGCCGCCTCCGGGATTATCTCACAAATCCTTCCGAACGTCCATGCGGCTGTGTCTCTCACAACCACACTAGAGTCGTACATGAGCTCTATCAGTGTCGGCATGGCTTGCTCTACTAGAGGCCGTAATGTTCCATTTTCTAATCCTCCGAGGATAGAACCTGTAAAAGAAATTGTACTGAAAGACAAAAACTCAAAACAGCAATCAAATACTAAGTGTAATTTACACGTAGAATGTGTTGTTAGTTCTATCATTCCAGACCAACGAGTGATATCCAGAGGTTATACTGTACATTCAATTGGGCCAACATAGAAAAATGAAAGTAGCTTTTGACACAAAAACTTACCAAAAGCCATAAGTGCCGCATCTCTAAACCGCCAGTTGGGGCTCTTGATGTTTTCTTTGACAAAGGGCAGGACAAAAGGAACAATGGCATCCTCGCAGCACGTAGCTAGCAACATGAGGCACACACCCGCTGCTTTGCTGGGGTTCCAGTCATCTTCATCATCAAACTCTTCCTGTGGACAAAGGTTCAAATTTAACACCCAATCAAACAGAAAAATTCATCTAAATAACTTGATGGATGATATGACCAATTTTTGTACAGTACTACAGAGTTTTTGATACTTAAAAAAATAATTTAAAAATATTTGTTACAAAAGTATGATGCTGACTCAACATAATGGAAGTGGAAAGAACAGTAAAAAACATTCTGCAAACAAGTACATTCTTCTAGGGCTTAAGCAGCTGTCCATTTTATTGAATGTATAAGCCCTAGGTCTACATTATGTAGGCCTACTAAGTAGTATCAAATAAATAAATTAATTGTTGATTGTTTTTTGGAGGTACAAACCTAAAAAATCTGTTGTTATTATTTTACCACAGATCAGACTTGAGCCGAAAGGAGTTTAATTTTTACTTATTGCTAAAAGCCACTTAATGAATTATCATAATGTGCATCAGAATACAGGTTAAACCATACAAAATTAAATCTGGCATTGTACTGTAAAACTCAAACTATTTAAATATTTTGACAGGCCTTAAACCAGTTTTCTTACAAACCGTTGACTTCAGTGATCTTTTGCCTAGAAAAATTCCCTGTTACATATTTTATACTCCCCTACATTCACCAAGAATTGAATAGCATGTAATTTTTGACCAAATGTATAAACATCCTGAACAATTTATTTAGATGTTTTGTTTAGACAAATATGTGAATTGAATAATGAGCTATATTGCTTTCCCACTGTCACTTGAAATTTTAGAGGACAAAATCATAAACTGTTAAAAATATAGGCAGATAAAAAGATGTTTTAACTAAAATCATCGACTTATCAGTGGAATTTGTGACGTCCTAGTAACTTTTCATAGATGGATTCACTATAGACTCCTTTCCTTTACCACAATTATGTTTACCCAACTAAGTGACTGACCTGTTTGGTTAGTTTAGTCATCAACACCGGCACCAGGTACTGTAGGGCTCCCTTGGCGTAGAACTTGGAGGTACGTTGTGGCGGACGGCCTACCTCTGCGGCCTCAGTGTCCTCTATAGCTAGGTCTACTTCCTCATCACTCACGTTGGACCAGAACTCTATACCCTGAAGCGCCACCTCGTCCACATCTGACTTCATGGCTTCCAATGTTATCTGCAAGAAACGGTGTAAATTAATAAAAGTATACTTTGTTCCAAACATTTTCGACATTACTTTGAAGTCGTACAAAGACTATTTCTTTGATGAGCATTTTTTATGTCCAAAGTAGTAATTTCAAAAGTTCTAACCTATTGCATTATTTCAGAGTTTGTTTCTTGCATGTTGTTTAGACTACCACACTGTTTTCTGTGTTATTTGTCCCAGGGTCTGTTAACTAATCTTGTTTGTGTTTTAGATCAGATTCTAGATTTCAAAACATTGTGCAACCTTGTACTTTACTAAATGTGTTGCGATAATCCCTCAAACAAATTTCAAACACCACAACATTGTACATCATCATTATTAGAATTTAGAATATTATGTTACCAAAACTAGATTTTTATTTGAGGCCTTAAAAAATAGGCCTAAACCAAAATAAAATTTAGGGTGGGACCCTCTCTAATCTGGCACTGCACCACTCCGGCACTTCAGTAATCCGGCTTCTTTTGACGGGTGAGGTCTTCCGCGATCGCAGCAAAATTCTGATTATCTCCCCCGGCCGTGTAGACATTATCATCCACTCCCGCGGTCACGGAAACATCACCATCGTCTTTCGCGGTAGCAGCATCATTCTAGTTCATAAGATTTAGATTGCTTAAAGCATACAACACAATAAATAAATGGGAAATAAAAAAAAATTGAAACCTGACCGCCAACAATATAAGACAAAGATACAGAAAATGCAATGACATAATTAGAAATCAAGTAGGCCTACGTAGTGACAAAATACCCCCACCGCAGCAAACCTGCAGACTAAGCGAATTTCCATTTGCCTGATTGGATTAACACTAAAATGTCTCCTTAAAAATATCACATTTATTCCCTATTTAAATCAAATCAGTTTAACACATACTTAGGTTTGCTGCAACAGGGAGCGTTAAAGTGTTTTTTTATGTAAAATTTTAATAGTTAGTAAGAAATAAAAACATTTTCTAAATTTGGGCAAAATATGTTAATAAATATGCAAACTACAACAGTTTACTTATCCTCCATAAGAACAACATGGGAATTTTAAATTTACAATTTTTTTGAATTTTCTCCGCAACCATTAGGCGCATTATAACGCTTCAATATACTAAATTATTTGTTTTTTTAAGCTCTACAAAATAGTTTGGAAAGAAATTGCAAAAATTTAAGTTTTTTGGGTCAAAAATGGGAAAAACCCATTTTTACCCCATAAAAGCCCCCATAAACCCCTGTTCCCATGGTCCGATCATGCTGGTTCGCGAACTCGTTTGAATAAACGTAGGTTTACACGTTTGTACCAATTTTCATCAAAATTGGATTATTTTTGCTCGAGTTATCGCGCTAACGGACACATATATATATAAATATATATATATATAATGCAAGAAAATAATATATATATAAATATATATATATATATATATATATGAATTTGAACGGATGCTATTTTTGGCCTCTAGGGACCTCAAAACGAAAAAAAAAATCGGTCCCGGGTCCAGGTCTTACCATGAGTACTACGGTAATAGCTTATTCCCTATATGGGAAATTCGCTAAAATTAATGTAAACAACAATGCTTGTGGTTTTGTCAATTGAAAGATAAAATATCCATAAAAAGGGGTTAACTTACTAAATAAGACTGTAGTTTACATGTTACATGTACTGTAGTTACATGTTCAATATGAAATCATAAACAGTTTTATGGCCCTAGGCAATGGCCAGCGGCAAATTGAATCTTCAAGACAAGACGAAAGTACAACTAAGTAAGTGAAATTTAACAGCCATTATAAAACTATTATTTCTATGATAAAATAGGTCTGGGATCTAATAATAATTACCCTAGTAATAAATAAAGAAGGATCTAATAATAATTACCCTAGTAATAAATAAAGAAGTTGTAAAGGAATAAGTGATACAACTTTTATGAGCTAAGCTACTGAGTCAACAGTTCTTGGAAGTACTTGACTTGGACATTTGATTGTCGTGATAAAATATTAATGGGTTTGAGACTGATAATGGGATTTTTATTGCATAATTGCTCTAGTAATAAATTATGAAAATGTAAACAAACATCTAATAAACCTTTTATGTGCTCCTAACCAACTAGCGATCGATAAAATTATGGCCCATAAAAATTTAAGGACATAGTCTGGCATTTAAGGACAATTCCCGTACATTTCATGGCCAGTAAAAAATTAAGTACAATTCCCGGTTTTCCCGGATTTCCCGGTTGGTAGACACCCTGGGTCACGGAAATGTCATCGTCGTCTTGCACAATTGCGGCAAAGTCATGGACATCTCCCACGGTCACGGAAACGTCATCATCCTCACGCGCGATCGTGGTAAAATCATGAACATCTCCCACGGTCATGTAGACATTATCATCGCCTCTCGCGGTCATGGAAACGTCATTGTCGTCATGTTCGATCGCGGCAAAATCATGTACGTCTCCCACGGACGTTTATACATTATCATCGCCTCTCACGGTCACGGAAACGTCATCGTCCTCATGCGCGATCGCGACAAAATCATGGACATCTCCCGCGGACGATTAGACGTTACAGTATACAGTAGAACCTCTTTAATCCGAACTAATTGGGACCGGGGGTAGTTCGGACTATTGAATAGTTCGGATTACAGAACATACTGTTGTTTTTACATAACAATAGCTAAAACAAGGCTAAAATGGATCGTAATTGCTATGGGAAATGTTAAAAAATGCTTTACAAAGTAAAATACAGTGTTTATTTAATAAAGTAGTAAAAACAGTGAATAAACAGAACTGTACATTAAATAGCCTATACAATATAAATACTGTACTGTGTATAGAGTACACCAATGAGGTGTTCGGATTAGTGGACGTTCAGATTACAGGGGTTCGGATTAAAGAGGTTCTACTGTATCAACAACTCCCAAGATTACGGAAACATTATCATCGTCATGCCCGTTCGCGGTAATAGTGGTTTCCAATCACGCAATCTTCGGAGACGTGTTTTAAGTGTTTTTATTGATAACATTCCAGTAACCTGGCTTTTTTACTAATCCGGCAGTATCACGGTCCCATATCTGCCGGATTACTGAGAGTCTACTGTATGCAGTAATGCATTGTAACTGTTTTAGTTTAAGTTGTGACTTACAGGGAAGAGTGCAGGGCCCATGTAAGGTTCCATGTAGTGGTAGTACAGAGACATTATCTTGACTAGACATTGTAAGGCGGCCACCTTGATCTGAGTGTCCGGGGACTGAGTAGCTTCACAGACCACCTCCATGATGTAGTTCCTCTCCGACTGTAAAAAAAAACAACACAGTGTAAATAACCGGTGAAGAAAGTGACACAATATTGAGTCTCCAAATATACAATTGATAAATGTTGGCTGAACATTAAAACAAATAGACCCATATCACTCGCTAAGTATCAAAGTTTTTCAACACAAGACAACTAAGGACATACAAGGATTTTGTACTGATAGGTCTAACGGCAGCTTACCTTACTGACGAAAATACATGAAAATGCACAGATATACACATAGGCCTAACCCATAGGATTTTCTGAGCTACTAACTCATTTTTCAGTAGCAGAATATACTGGCCTACTGAAAAAGGAGTTTTACAAAAAAATTATCTGTTTATTTTAGCATGTTCATCTGTATTTTCTTCAGTAAGGTAAGCCTGCTGTAAAACCTATGATCCTATCCACTACCAAATCCTTTAAAATTCTGCCCTAAAGCCATGTTTGTTACAAAAAAAAGTCATAAACTTTAAAAGTACATAAGCTACATGAATGAGCATTAAGGTGTGATACAAGTGAAGAAGCATTTTCTTTTTTGGTTATCAATACAATACAATCAATACAAAAAATGTTATGAATATATTATTTTTAATGGATTCTTTTAGTTTTGCACTGAAAAAAGTTGGTGCGATGAGAAAACAGTATTTTACCGCAGCACATTCCGGTCTGTAGCTCTATAGGATTATACATTTTGTTTAAACAGAACACAATTTTAACAACAGAAAAGATGTCTACTTTACAATGGGGTATTTGTTTAATGAGTTTAAAACCTCTGAAATTTTGAAGTCATATCATTTATGGTAACTGGCCAAGTGGACACAGCTCGATATAAAACTTTATAAATCACAAATTCCCAACACAAAAAACTTTCAAGTCTCACTAACTCACTAATCTTTTAATATGCACTACTTTCTTTAATAACACAACTATGTAGGGCCTAGTGTGATGGAAACAGAAGTAGGTATGTTGCAACCTAAGTTTCACCCGTTAGAAAAATGTAATAAATATAAATCAACATAGGCCTACATGTCATTTCATACATGTACACTTACCTCTTTGTCAAAGTTAGCACGGGTAAACTCCAGTGAGTTGAATAGCGCAGTAGTAGCAGCCAGTCGAACATGATTGCTAGGCTCCAACGACCGCATGCCGTGAATAATGGCTGTTAAAATCTGGTTGGACTGAGAAATAAGCACATCTTGCTCCTGTGAGAGGGAAAGAACGTAAGAAAATAGGCCACACAAGAACAAAATGTTTCACTGAATCTTAATTTGATGATAAGTATTATTCAATAATGAAGAATCAAAGCTTAGCTTAGTATATACAGAATTATTGCATTGTCTCAATAAAACTCAATAAATGTCAATACATGTGACAATAGAATGGTAATATAAATTAGGCTAATAAAATGTGTTGATAAAACTGTTCTAAGCTAAAGGAGTACTTTACAAAACTACAATTAAATAAAAGGCTTAGTTGACCAAGCATTTTCCAGTTTATAAAATTAGCTAAGATAAGATAAGCTAATGTTTGATCTGTGTAATTAGGCCTATCTATATAATAATAGGCAAGCATGTTTCTTTAAAACCTTTTTTCTCAGTGTGTGTGCACGCAGGGAAAATCTACGCATACTGTTGGAAAGACATTTTCCTGTAGATGTGCAGAATCCCTTAATAAAAAATGAGCTAAAATGGATTTTAAATTTTGAAAAATTAACATGTGCTTTATGGGTTGCGAAATAACAACAAAATATAAACAGAAAATCAAAACAAATGGAAGAAATTCCAATCTAATCATATGTTTTATGTGTGGTGTGAAAATAGAGAATTAAACATTACATATGTTTGGTTGAGTTTTCAACCATTTGACGAAGTTCTAGACGACCTCTAGTTTAAATTAAACAGCTTGTAGCTTGCAGGCAGCGCACACTGTAAAACCTCAGGGCAACATAAAGAGGACCTGTTTCATAAAGATTATAATGGTTACCGGTAGTTGTAAATTGTTAAGTTTTTTAAATGTTGACTAAATGTTCTCTTTTATTTTATTTTTTTTTTATTTATTTATTTTTTTTATTTCTTTTATTACAATGCTGCAAAACAGGATAAACCCAATTACATTGTAGCATTAATATTCGAACATCAAAATCTTGACATGCATTATAAATAATAAATATGGTAAAAGTTCATCTTGCTGAATAAATTATAATTATTAGTGTAATCACTCACAACAATACAATATATGACAAAAACGGACTAATATCAATAAATAATGTACAAATAAATATCTTAAAAAATAACATTGGCAATTATTTAAATATCTATAACAACAATAACAAATTAAATAAATAAATTTTAGGGTAGACAATTTGTGCCAGTTTGGTCATAAAACTGTACAAGCATTTATAATATGGTTGATTTGTTTTGTTAAATAGTTAAAAACAAAACAAAAACACCGTCTGCAACTTAGCGAAAATATCTTAGCGACTGTCTCTCTAGCCCATAAGAGAGTGTGTTTACTCACAATGTCTTGACAGATGTAGCCGATGGCCTCTAGTGTGGCCTCCTTCATCATCTCAGTGCTGCCTCCGCTGATGACGTTGTTGACCAACAGACTGATAAGGTCCGGCCACTGTCCAGCTGGTAGCTCGGCCACGGCCACGTACGCGACACACTGTGCTGCTGAACTTGGTCTGTTGTTCTCCGTACCCAGGGCTCCGACGATCTGTCAACATATACAAGTAACCATCAGACATTTTACTTACTAGGTCATTGGACCCTCAGGAAACAATCAGAGAAAATGCTTGGAACATTTGAAAACAAGATTCGCGCATATACCTGGACAGGTTTAGGAAGATGGCACTTGGAGAAGAAGGACGAGATTAATGTATACGAGAATTATATCAAGAACCAGACATTGAAGGAATGATAAAAACTTATTGACTAAATTGGTTGGGTCATTTGTAGGCCTGCCCTATACAAGAAGTGTAATGAATTGATCAATTTAAGTGTGCGGGAAGGAAAACAAAGAGGTCTAGAAAGACCAAGAATGAGTTAGAATAACAAAGTTACTTAAGACCTGAGAAGGCTCTACTCAGCTATAAAGGTACAGCAGAAGACCCAAGAATGTGGAGGCAATACGTTGGCAGAGTCAACCCAGCCTGGTTTTCAATGGAAAAAGGTGTTAAGTGATGAAGTGAAGATATGAGTTATTGAGATATATAGAGAGATTAGTTCATGGTAAATAGGCACTGTGAATAGCAAGTAATATAAAATACCCCCACAGCAGCAAACCTGCAGACTAAGTGAATTTCCATTTGCCTGATTGAATTTACGCTAAAATGTCTCCCTAAAAAACATTTATTCCCTATTTAAATAGAATTTGTTTAGCAAGTACTCTTAGGTTTGCTGCAACAGGGAGGGTTAAAAACTTTTTTTGTAAAATGTTAATAGTTTGGTAAGAAATAAATGTATTTTGATCTCAAATTTGATCAAAATATGTTCACAAGCAAACTACAACAGTTTACTTATTCTCCATAAGAAAAACATGGGAATTTTTAATTTACCATTTTTTTTTTATTTTCTCCGTAGCCATTAGCCGCATAATAACACTTAAATATACTAAACTATTTGTTTTTTTAAGCTCTACAAAGTGGTTTGGAAATAGATTGCTAAATTTTATGTTTTTTGGGCCAAAAATTGAAAAAACCCAAATTGAAAAATTTTTACCCAATAAAACCCCCTCATAAACCCCCGTTCCCATAGTCTGATCATGCTGGTTCGCGAATTTGTTTGAATAAATGTAGGTTTACACGTTTATACCAAATATCATCAAAATCGGATCATTTCTGCTCGAGTTATTGTGCTAACGGACATATATAGGCCTATATACTAGCAGAGTATCCGTCCTTCGTACGGGGTTGGCATTTAAGTATAAAATGCTTATTGCAGTTATACTCAAGCTTTGCGTGTGCAATGGGTTTGATAAAATTTGCTTCTTTAAATTTATGGTATACTATAGTATTACACATCTAGGCTACCATAGCCATAATGTTCTACCACTTCATCCAAACAATAAAGAAAAATAAATTATTAAAAATTTGCATATCACAAATTAATCATGAAATTTAAAATATAACTTAACTGTAAAAAATCCTACTTTGACAGTTCTCATTGTGTATCACGGGGTTTTTTTTTTTTTTTTGCTGCTTAGTTCAAATTAGCTGTTTTCATAAATGCAAAACAAAATATTAGTGCTGCACCCTGTTGGTAAATCTTATAACTTTTTGATGCTTTTGCATAGAACCAACTTTTTTAGTTGACACAGCTTACTAAATTCTTTAATTCCCTTTAAATATGAATAGGCCTACTCATAAGGTTAACATGGGGAACTACAGATCCATTGGGGCGGAGCCCGAGAGGATTTTTGAGATAAGAATATGCCTATATGTTAATCGGGATAGTGAGCCATCATCATGCCAAATGTCAGCCTAATCCGCCAAGTAGTTAATGCATGATTGAACTTCAAACAAACAAACAAACATACACACATACAAACAAACAGACAAACTTTCACATTTATAATATAAGATATATATAAAAAAAATAAAATATACAAAAAAACTGCAAAGTATCCCAAATCTCATAGCCCCAAAGCCGTGTTTACACAGTCAGTTGGCAAGCAGGTTATCTGCCTAAGGTAACTTGGAATACACTTGCCTAGGCTTATATTAAATCGGTTGCAAAAATTAACTTTTTTAACAAAAGAAAGCAACTTGATTTTACAAGGGATACCACTGAAACCAAAATAATTTTAAGTTTCGTAATCTTCTCTGTCCAACTTTTAACAATGAAGACACTCATCTCTTTACTGGTTGAATACAACAAGCAAAGTTAAATAAGTCTAAAATTTATAGTAGGGCCTAATGAGCAACTAAAAAAGTGTACAATAACCTTCAAAAACGCCTAACCTATAATATATTGTTCTACGTTATTTGCTTGACTCAGCAAAACAGTTTACAATCTTCTCTCAGCAAAAAAAAAAATCAAGTTAAGTTACTCTTAGGTCTCTGAATTGACAATCATCTCTGAATTATGTTCTTATGTGGTGAAGTATTCTAAACAAAATGCCTTACTCAAATCTATTGTTGCTTTGATGAATGATTCTTGTATTACAAGTTTAGAGACTAAAGCCATGCAACTACAAAAGCTCTTGTCTTAAAAAGGAATTGCTTAAAAATCATACTTACATTCTTTTTAATATACAGTCTGACATCTTCTGGGAATGCCAGCCATCGTTGTTGGTATTGTAGTTTGACTGTTTGGTCTTTGGAAGTGAGGGTATTTTTGAGTTGAAGACCCGCAGCCATCCTAGCAACTGGGCTGTTGCCCCCATGGTGTAACACATCGGAAAGTGTTTTGACGAATTCAGGCTGAAAATTTAAACGCAGAACATTATGTTATGCATTAGCGGTGCATGTATCAAACAAACCAAGGAATTACCCGTTATAGTGAAATAACTTAACTGTAGTCTGCTGACCAATTTCATTGGTAGCACTAGAACTCAAATTCATTACGTTGCTGCCAAGGATATGTAGTCAATCAAGCTACTGATTTAACACACAGCCTGTGCTAAGTCTTTATATTACAAACATTTTGGGTACTTACAAATCTGTAGCCTATACTATGCCTTTTTAAATATGGCGCTTTATAAATGTATTTTAAAATGTGTTCTTTAAGGTCTAATCAGGTATTTAAGTAGGTATTCTAAAGATTCAAAAAGATAACATAAATAGTAGAAAATCAAGAGCAAAAATCTCTTCAAGGGACGATCCATAAAGTATTGTAAGTTAAAATACCCCCGCTGCAGCAAACCTGCAGACTAAACAAATTTCCATTTGTCTGAATTGATTTTAAATTAAATCTATGTAAATAACATTAGGTTTAAAAACAAGTACCTAGGTTTGGTGCTACACGGAGGGTAAGCGTGTTTTAAGAGATTTAATTATTATATACTAAGCTATTAAAATTTTACTAAAAATCACACTTTGTTAGTTTACCTGTAGCAGCAAACCTAGGTAGGCATACTCGTTAAACCTAAATGTTAATTTAATAGATTTAATTGAAAATCAATTCAGGCTAATGGAAATTCGCGTCGGCAGGTTGCTGCAGCGGGGGTATCTTTTTAAATTCCTCACAACATAGGCTACAATATTTTTAAGTTTTTGACTCTTGAGCTGTGATATTTATTTGACTTGCATGTATAATTAGACCTACCATCTTTTAGTTTGAACTGTACTTGTAGCATTTTAAACATAGTAGAAACTAATTATTTATTTATTTTAGAACTGTCGAAAGTTTTGTAGGAACATGTTGATTGTATTTGTAGCGCTTTGTGATATTTCGTGCAGAATGTGTTGTTTAACTGACGATTCCAAATGCATTTAATGTTCAAAGGAAAATAAATATTCTTAGTCTTATAATTGTACAAATGTAGGGTAAAATCAATATCTGTATATTTTTATTTTATTAAAATTTTTAATTTTATAGTCACTACAAACATTAGGATGTGGAAGAAAATAATTCATTAGCAAAAAAATGCCAGCCGAAGCCTGTGTTACACGTCAAAAATTCATATAGGCTAGTCATTTTTGTAGAATTTTTGTTTGGGATCCTAAATTTTGAACCAGCGTTGGACACTCCAAAGTCAACTTATATTTTCCCCTCAAGTGTTTATTAAGTCATCTTACATATAGTTACACCTCTGAGGTGGAGTTGATTACTCATACCTTCTTAATCTATGGTAAACCTACTTATCTTGTATGGGTAAGCACTTAAAAAAAAACATTACCTCTCACTTATTTCAATACACATATAAACTTACACAAACTATTACTAGGCCAGCTTGTTTTAACTTATTTAATTAAATTATCTTTGTTACTCTTTCTTTTGATACATTTAATTACATTGTATTATTATTTATATATTAAGACAATCTATTTAAAAATGAAACTACCCTATTGCACTATAAAATGTTTAAAGGGCATTAAAGATTCTTATTCTTCTTGTTTACTTGCAAAACTAAGACATTTTGGTCTACTGAATAGGCTATAGTTGGCAGAGTTCATTTTCTTAAATTTAATAAGTTAATTCATTTTACAATCTATTGAACATTAAACTATATAATTACCAGATTAGTCTGAGCAGCTTGTTCCAAATAGCTCTGGGCAGCCTCCAACTCATTTTTATCTACAAAACAGAAGTTGCTGTTAGACTAAATATACTAGAACCCCTGACCTGAATTTGGATTAACCGAAATGTTCTATAAAATAATATAGGGCTGTAAAATGCTTTAATAAATTCAGTTGTCTGGTTTAAAGTATTTTCTATCCCATTGTAAATTTTTTGTAGCTGAGATAAAACACTGAATTATACAGGGTGTCCCGTAAGTAAACAGCCAAACTCCGGGAAATGGTTCTATGGGTCAAAATAAAGAGAAAATCGAGAATAGCATTTTTTTTTTCAAAATCGCTTTGTTAAACCAGATATCCGCCATTTTTATATTTTTTTACAAAAACATTTTTATTTTTGAATTTTTTCAACAGATTTTTATAAAACTTGGTACGTAGGTTAAAGTAGAAAAGACTAGCCTAATTTAAGAAAAAAAATTCATCTTGATTCAATGAAAAATTTCTAAATGGCGGCCAATTTAATTTTTTAAACTTAAATTACCGGTACTCAAAAACGGCTTATTATGAAGAAATGTCAAGAACACTTTTATTTAGAATTTTTAATTCCCTATCAAACGAAGATCAAATAAGAAATAGCTGAAATATTAGTTGTAAAATGGGGCAAACCTGACTAGCTTCTGCCTTATTCTACCCCATTTTACTATTAAAAATCGTAATAATTCAGCTATTTTCTATTCGATCTTTTTGAACTTGGTATCGTTTGATGGGGAATTAAAAATATGTGTTTTAACCCAAATATAAGTGAAGAATGAGTGTGACAGTTAGTAGTTAATATGTTAATAACATATGTCTTGGTGTTACGTTTTACATTTTGGATTGAGTTTTTGTTTTAAAATGAGAATACACCACCTTTAGATGTACAATAGGCCTAGAGTTATTTAATAATTAACCTAATGACAGTGCCGAGCAGGGTTGCTACCTTAGGGAAAAATCGGGACATGGCCCCTTTTCCCCTCGGATTAACATAGGCTTAAACGCAGGCATAAGGTACCGAAATCGGGACTGTAACGGCAGAATCGGGATGGGTGGCAACCCTGGTGCCGAGTTTTTTTTCAGTTTTTGCTGAACTTGTTAGGCCTAAATGATTTTTGTTGTGGTGTATCCCAGAACCAAGCCACATTTTTCTCAGTGAGAACTTGTCGAGAAGGAACTATCAACTGAAGCATCTGGTATAAACTTTGATAAAGTACCGTAGATTGTGGATGTTAGCCTCCGGATTGCAAAATAATATTCTGTATGGTGATATGAGGAAGACAGAGCTTGATCAGTTCAAACTCAGTGAATCAGTGCTTTTCATATTCAAACCAAGTGTTGGCTGAGAGCAAAAATAGTTCAAGTTGGCCCTGAACCATGATCGTACCAAATTCAGACAGGTGATGGACGAGAATACCGAAGAAACTCATGGATCATAAGACAAGACGTAAGTCATTCAGAATCTCCCATCATGTGAACGAAAGTCAGTCGCCCAGGTTAGAATAACATTTTAACAATGACTCAGCTTCTGTTGTAAGAAGAGGCGAGAGGATAAAAAAAATACCCCCGCCGCAGCAAACCTAGTGCAGACTAAGCGAATTTCCATTTGACTGATTGGATTTACACTGAAATGTCTACTTAAAAATATAACATTTATTCCCTATTTAAATAGAATTAATTTAACAAGTACTTAGGTTTGCTGCATCAGGGAGGGTAAAACAGTTTTTTTTTTCCTTTTGTAAAATGTCAATAGTTAGTAAGAAATGAAAACATTTTCCAAATTCAATCAAAATATGTTCACAAACAAGCAAACTACAACAGTTTACTTATTCTCCATAAGAATAACATGGGAATTTTAAATTTACAATTTTTTTGAATTTTCTCCGTAACTATTAGGCGCATAATAAATTATTTGTTTTTTTAAGCTCTACAAAATGGTTTGGAAAGAAATTGCTAAATTTTATGTTTTTTGGGTAAAAAATGGGAAAAACCTATTTTTACCCCATAAAACCCCCGTTCCCATGGTCCGATCATGCTGGATCGCGAACTCGTTCGAATAAACGTACGTTTACACGTTTGTACCAAATTTCATCAAAATCGGATCATTTTTACTCGAGTTATCATGCTGACGGACACACATATATATATATATATATGAATTTTAACGGATGGTGTTTTTGGCCTCTAGGGACCTCAAAACGAAAAAAAAAAAAATCGGTCCCGCGTCCAGGTCTTACCATGAGTACTACGGTAATAGCTTATTCCCTATATGGGAAATTCGCTAAAAACAAATAATTTTTACTTGTGAAGGAGGGATGACAGTCACTTAGTAGTTATAATATCATCTTAATAACGTACCTATGTTAATAATTGTTCAACACATGACTTGTGTTATTGTTCACATTTTGGATTGTTTTTGTTTTAAAATGAGAGCACGCAACCTTAAGAAGTTCAGTGTAGGCCTAATTATTTAATAGGTAAAATAACTTAATCGAATGACAATTAGTGTACGGAGTGTGATGCCTTGTGCAGGTTTTATTAATTACCTACTGTAAGACCCAGCTGTTTCATTAGTCATGAGCATTATTTAATGAAAGCCCAATGATCAAGGGCAGCTGGGTCCAGTTTCCAACCATCAAAATGCTAACTTAAGCCTGGCCTAACTTAACTCACTTTTCTCAGGATCGAACCGGCGACCTTTTGACTACCGGTACTAGGCGAGCACTAGCCTATAACCACTAAGCTACCCAGCTATTTATTGGACTAGACTGCCTATTGATGGAGACCTTAAGCTGTGTTTACACTATACAACTTGTTTTACAAACTTTAGTTTGTCAAACATGTTTAACTTAAGTTAACTTAAACTTAGTTAAACTTTGTTTTAAGTACCATAGTATGAAATATGAAGTGAAGCGGAAATATGAAATATGAACACTATAAACTTGTCTTGACGTTGTGTTTATAGGTACGACTAACTTAATGTTGTAAAACAAGTTGTATGCGCCATCCCAAAAACAATGATGGCTAAGAGAGCTCGCCCAAAAACTTACACAGTTATCATTAACTTAAGTTATTGCTATAAGGGGCGAGGATCGTGATCTATTATTGGCAGGCTGTTTGTGCCGTGATTTCCTGTGATAGAAAGACAAGGTCAAAGCGTCGTTGGGTGGTAGGTTCGTCACTGCAAAATATAGGATTAACTTAAATACAGTGGCAGTGAAAGGTTACGAGATTTTGAACAAGATAAAACGAGTTGTTGGCTAGGGAATTAAGGACTGTTGGTAAAACTTTTTAAGAATGGCAAATGTAGACTTTTGTCTGGGCTATGCCTACTCATGGGAGCAAACTGATCTAGAGCCCAGATAGCAAAACCGATGTGGGTAAACATGTTTGTCATTTCCGAAATGGGTAGGCTAAGTAGGGAACGCTGCAACTTAACGTAAAAAGGTACAGTTTTTTTTACTGGGCTAAGTTGAGTTCTAAGGCTAATTTACGCTAAGTTACAATTGTGTTTTTTAGATATGGTAAAAAAAAGGAATTAAGTTAAAGTTTACTAACCTAATTGAATCTATAGAATATTTTCAATCGATAATAAGTTAGCGTAGCCCAGTTAACCTAGGAAACTTTACCCATAAGTTATAAGATAAGGTTGTACCAACACTATTTTAAGGTTGTACAACATCCTTATTGTAGACCTAACTTAAGTTAGCCTACAACTTGAAAGTTACCGTATTGTATTTTTAAAAATGTTTAAACCCTCCGAGTGTCATGCGTCGCTGCAGCGACGCGTAACACAGTTTGTGTAGTGTCAATTTTTTGCCCAAACTATTAGTGTTTGTGTAGTGAACACTGTTTACGGCGAAGGCTCTATGACTGACAAAATCGGATTGAACTGGATCGAGTTACGTATCGTTCTTTTCATTAGATTCTAAGCTTTCTCCAGAGGTCTGTCTCTAAGCGCTTTATGTTCTCCGAGCCGATCGTAATTGTAGCAGACAGCTGACGTGCGTATTTGTAAACAGGTTAGTAAACCTCGGACCGATGACTGATGTGTTTTATTATGTTTATCATTGTTTTAGTGTTAAAAATCAAAAGTAGTGATATACGTGGTGCATTATAAGAAGATTTAAGTGATTTTGAAGGGCAGGTTGATGATCCTGAAGAAGTAGGTAGTGATATTGATGTAAATTATCAGCCAGATTCCTAGCTATGGTTAGGCTATGCATTCTTAGCTAAACCCTATGTACTGAAATCTGTTTTTTGGCCATAACTTATTTATTTGCAAATCTACTTCCTTATATTATTATATATTTGTAATCCTCATAAAATTTAGAACAAAGTGGTTATTTTCAAATATTTATAGGCTTATAATTTATACAAATTTTCATTGAGCGCGAACTTATTTTTTTTCAATTTTTCCAAAATAATTTTTATTTTTACCTAAAAAAAATTTTTTTAAACACATATTCCTTAGGTTTTATGTATGATATTGAAGCCCATGATTTTCCAAACAAAATGATATATAGAACAGTAGAATTAACATTGTTTTAAGCTTTTCAGATCCGTTTTAATAAAACCTTGCAAATGCGCCAAAAATAGGCGGACATTAAGGCCTAAACTATGGACACTCGGAGGGTTAACCAATTATTAGGCCTTGGCTAAAACTTACTAGCCTAGATCTAACTTAAGTTAGGTCCCTAACTTACCAGTTAATTTGTTATACAACACAAGTTTACAAAACAAGTTGTAAAGTGTGAACAAGGCTTAAGTTAACCCTAAATCCTTACACTAAGTTTAGGCCTAACTTAGGGGCCTACTTAAAGTGTGCACAGCTCACCAGTTTATAAAAATTGATAAACTTAGGCCTTAAAACTCAATAGGAACAGTAGATTGGCCTAACTTACAGTAGCCCATCACAAAACACAACCAAATATGGAATAGGGACACATTCAATTTTACCTAGGTCTCTTGAGCCAATGGCCTTGTACAAGGTGTCATGGCATGTAGGTTTTAGGAAGCACAAACCTAGGCCTAGACGAGTCTATAATATCAATTTTATCTTACATACAACAGAATGTAGGTTAACAAAATTCAGACGCATAAACTCAGGCCGCATGATAGGACTAGACCTACCTTAGAATACTTAATTCGAACATTAAATGGCCTCTAGATAGTCTTCACCCAACCCTGATTACTCAAGTAGGAATGATATGGAAATATTTAAGTAACAAACGAATACATACCTGGAGAAACAGTTTTTTCGAGGATTTGGATTAACTGAGCTGAAGCTTCTGAAGCCATCTTAACTATCATTGCATAAATTTAACAAGAAATAGGAAATTTACACGTCCACAACACCGCAAAATTCATGGACCGGCAATGGAATTGCCTTGAAGGGACGTCATTAGTATTCCTCCGCCAAGAGCCACCTCGTTCTCGGTCTCGTGTCAAGTGCAAAATTTTAAAAATTAAAATTTGTTTCTTAAAATATTATATTAAGAAAAATATTATAGCCCAAAAGTTATATAGAGTAGTTTAACTATGGATTTATTGTACAGTATATCAGAAAAAAATATTTAATGTGATTTTATAGCTGAGTAATGCAAAATAAAAGGGATTTAAATATTACGATTGACATATGAAATAATATAAGTTGAATAATCCCTAGATTCTTTGCCTACCCTACAATCCAACAAAAATGTCAACACATTCAAAAACACAGTAAATTAAGCTATTCTATTATTTGATAAGTAATAATAAATGAAGTACTAATATGGAACTACTTTTATGGGTTGCCTCCTAAGACGGCACTTTCGCGCCATACACTATCCCCGGGCGGAACTAAGAAAATCGGTGTCTAGTCTGGCCTATTCAAAAGTCATTTTAATAGCCACAAAATTAATAGTCATAAGACACTACATATAACAACATTATTAAGTTTCTACAGCACAACAAAGCACTAAAATTAACGACGAAGGCTAGGAACCAAAAATATACAAATGCTTGAAATTAGGGTTTTTTCAATTATTATTTATTTACTTAGTATTAGTATAAATCATTCGTACTAAACAATAACTGCATTCAGATGCAGTTGTAGTAATAGAGATCGATGATGCATTGTAGGCCACCAAAAATAGAGAAGCAGGAAGCAGGTAGTGGAGGTTGAAAGTGCTCGCTCAGAAGAGCTTAGTTTGCGACATGGGGTTCGTCAAGGGTCTGTGCTTGGTCCTCTTATCTTCGTAATTCTTGTCAATGATTTAGATCTTCAGGGCCGCTCACTTTTATATGCGGATGACACTACCCTGCTGGCAAGGGGAAAGGACATAGAACAAATCCGTCTGGACTCAGACGGATTACTTGACGAGGCCAAGAATTGGTTTGTGAGCAACAAGTTGCAGCTCAACGAGGATATGACTCAGTGACTCATTTGCACTATGAAGATGACTGATGCGGGAGCCCCTTGAAGCTCCTTGGCTTCTGGATTGATCCGAAGATGTCGTGGGGTGAACATGCAACTCAGGTCTGTCATAGGCTTTCTAGAGTCCTCTTTTTGCTGAGGAAATTGAAAAAAAATCAGTGGATGTTTTGGTATCGGCCTATTACGCCCTGTTCAACAGTCACGTCTCATATGGGCTAATATTATATGGGGACACTCTTTCAAGAGTCAGAAAGATTCTAAGGGCTTTTCAGAAGAGAGCAGTGAGGCTTTCGACTTCGGTAGGCCGCCGAGACCACAAAGAGTAAGCCTCTGTTCTCCTCTCTTAACATTCTTACCATCTTTAATCAATATGTACTTGACATCGTCTGCTACGTTAAGGAGAACATTGGTGATATTTTATACAGCGTGGTGCAACATCAGCACTAGAGGAGCTATCGATCTGGATGTGCCACGATGCAGACTAGCCAAGTCACTAAACAGCTTCCCAGTTATGGCAGTGAGACTTTTCAATAGACTCCAGTAAAGAAGGTGAACATGCCCAGTTTTGCTATAAATTTATTTATTTATTTATTTATTTATTTATTTCATTCCAACGGCAAATACCAATACTTATAGGAGGCATGATGCAACATGGCTACATACAAAGAATATACAAAAAGTTCAGATAATACAATACAGAAATACACAGAAATATAAATACATAATATATAGGAAATACAAATACAAAAATATACTGAAAAACATATAGAAATATAGATACAGAAATACAAATAGTATATATGTGCAAAATGCTTGATATTCAATGAGATTACGAGAAATTACAACAAATGCAAAACAAGCAGAAATGACTATTTACAAAAGCAAAGAGACTTTCAATCCACCGAATCAATCAGCTATAGGCCAGGGAGCAGCGAGCATCCGTCTTCTGATGGTAGTTGAACTGTCACAGAATAGGTCGACCGTGTCGCAGAGACCATTCCCAAGCCTCATCATCCTTGCCAGTGGACCGTGGAAGTCGTAGGAACGCTGGTAATGGCGCCTGCTAAACAAGTCACGTGACCGAGTTCTGGATGGAAGGCGGAAGTCCACTTGTGACAGAAGCATGGGACAGTCCAGCTGACCACTGATAAGCTTAGCAAGGAACAGCACATCTGCTATACAGCGTCTCACTTCCAGGTCAGGGAGGAAAAAGTTAGCCTGAAGTCCAGCAAATGGAATTTCCCTGTAGTGCAGTCCCTGACGAACCCCCAGTAGTCTCACGAACTTCCTCTGCACAGCCTCCAACTTATCGATCAGACCCAGGTGGTAAGGGGACCAGACAGGGCTGGCATACTCCAGGAGCTGACGCACAAAGGATGAATAGAGAGTCTTTAATACGAGAGCATTTGTCATACCACGAGTCGACCTAGTGATGAAACCCAGCATCCTATAAGCTCTTCTGCATATGTCGTTGACATGTGCATTAAATGAGATGTCCGAAGAAAATGTGACACCCAGATCCTTCATCGTATTCACTCTTCCAAGGGGTTGGTTATTCATTGTATACTGGAAATGGTGCAGGTTGTGCAAACGGCCAAAGGTCATAACGGAGCACTTAGAAAGATTTAACTTCATGTTATTAACAATGCACCAGTCCAATAAATTGCTGAGACTTGTCTGCAGGCGAGCAAAGTCATCATCACTGGAGACCACGGTGTATATCTTCACATCGTCAGCAAAGAGTAGAGCGTCGACGAGAAGAACAGACGTTATGTCGTTGATGAACAAGGTGAATAGGTGTGGCCCGAGTAGCGACCCTTGAGGAACACCGGAGGTTTGCAGAAATTCTTGGGAAAGCGCACCAGGCAGTTTGACTCTTAGGCGCCGGCAATGCAGATATTCGGAGAACCAGGAAAGCAATGGGCCATGGATTCCATAAGCTTCTAGCTTGCTGACAAGGATGGAGTGGTCAACTTTGTCAAATGCCTTCGCAAAATCGATAAAGGCAACATCAAGCTGTTTACCTGATCCCATAGCAGATAATATGCTTTCCTCAAATATCATCAGGTTGGTGACGGTTGATCTAGAGGAGGTAAAACCATGTTGACTGGGACTTATTAGCGGTTTTAGAAAGGGTTTAAGGCGAGAGAGCACTAACATTTCAAACACTTTCCCCACTGATGAAAGGATGGTGATAGGTCTATAGTTCTCGACTTTCGATGGATCGCCTCCTTTTAGAATCGGAACAATGTGCCCCGTCTTGAGAGTCTCAGGGAATATTCCTTGTTGAATGGACAAGTTGAATAACATAGTCAGCGGTTGGGCCAAAGTGTCGCTGCAGTGTTGGAGGAAGGATGGAGGCACATTGTCTGGGCCAGCACCCTTCGTAACATCAAGTTTTCTGAGGACTTCTAAGACTTCCAATACAGAGAAGGAGATGATCGGTAGTGTAGAGTTGGCATTGAAGTTAAAAGGAGGTGGTGAAACTACGGGCTTCGAGAAAACCGATGAAAAGAAGGTTGAAAACATTTCAGCTCTCTCCTGAGGTTCATTGGAAGAGTTTCCATTAAAACTAATAATAGATGGTATAACAGGAGATCCACCAGAAGAGCGAACAAAGCTCCAGAAGCATTTAGGGTTGTGAGGAATCGAATTTTCTATGTGCCGCAAATAGCTTCTATGACATGTACGACTCAGATTCCTGCAGACATTACGCAACTCACAAAACCTTGAATAGTGCACTGGAAGGAATGTTTGCTTGTAGCGCTTATGGGCTATTTTCTTTTGAATAACCAAATTTATGAGCTCCGCAGAGAACCACTTGGGGAAAGATGAGGTTCCGATTCGTTTTATGGGACTGCACTGCACGCAAATATCTCCAAGCACTGCAATCACTCTTCCAAAACACTCATTGACGTCAACTGAGTCGTGCAAAAAGGAAGGTCCGTTGATGCAAGTGATTCAGAAGCAGCATACAGATTGCACTTACGAAGATTTGGGCAGGTGTAGAATCCAGCATGAGGTAATCTTCGAGAAACTGGCAGTGAGAAAGACAAAGGAGGATGATGGGGATCGGCTTGAACTAGGTACTCATCAGCAACGTGAACGGAGACCGAGTTGAGACTACAAAAAATCAAATCCAATGTTACTTGTCTGAAATTCCTTATGTGATTAATTTGGACCAAGGAGTGGAGTTCAGCGAGGTTTTCAAGAAGTTCTATCTTGGGTCGATCAATAATGGGCTCTTCAGGCGTAGTGCAGTCATACGAGGCGATGTTATAGTCACCAGCTAGTAGTAAGGAAGATGACGAGGGCAAAGAAGATACTACTTCGTCCACCGACTCGCAATACTCATTATATGTAGATACAGGTTGTCCTGGGGGAATGTAGACACAATTCAGTACCAGTTTGTAGGTGGGCAGAGACACGTAGAGATTCTCAATGGATGAATCATTAACTATTTCATGCGATTGAATACAATTTTTAATCGCAATTAGTACCCCGCCACCCGACGCTTTGTTGCTCGAAAGAATGCTTCTATCTTTCCTATAAATCGTGTAGCTGTTGTTTGCCTGGAGCTCAGAGTTGGAAATGTCTGAGTATAAGTTCGTTTCACAGAGCAATAGCGCGTCATATATGTTGCAAGCCAGGGAATTTTTGAAGTCTATAAGTTTTGTTCGGAGGCCATTAACATTTTGGAAGTATACATTTAAATTATGTTTGCCGTTGGAAGATATTAGTTTTTTGAACAATCTTGGGTATTCCGTTAACATATTTGATGGTCAAGTCCTGCTCTCCAGAATCCGTACGGGCTTTATTTACCTTTGTGCCTACCTTGACCTATGGATGTGAATCCTGGACTTTGACCAAAAAGACTCAAAAGTAAGCTCCAAGCAATGAAGATTAGGAAAGTAGAGAACAAAACTAGAAGGGATAGGATAAGGAATGTTGCAATAAGAAACACTTTAGATGTTAAGCTCATAGCTACCACAATACAGGAACAGCAACTAAAGTGGTTTGGGCATGTTCATGGTACGCCCACAACTCGGCTTCCGAAGATCATGAAAGAGGTCAAAGTCGAAGGAAAGTGCAAGAGAGGTAGACCGAGAAGGAAATTGGAGGAAGAGATAGAGGACGCTCTGTGTGAGAGGGGCAGCTCCATTCGTGATGTTTTACCACTCACTGCAGACAGAAAGTCATGGAGGCTGTGAGGCACCTTGTATCCTCGACACCAACCGGTAGAAGAGGCAGAATTAATTAAGTAAGTTGCCAATCTCTAGTATTTTTCTTAAAAAAAGTTTATGTAGGCTTATTTTTAACCTTTTTTGGGGATAATCAATAATTCTTAGTTCTAATCAATTTAAATAGCAATTCTGAAGCTTTGGGCTCAGCAAAAGCTGTCTATTCTTACACAACGATCTCTATTATTTCTTACATAGAATCATTAACTAAAGATAGAATTTAATGGAGAAGTGATTATGATGGTAGTGCCCAAGTTATAAAAATGTATGAAAACAATAAGGAATTTTAAAATGTTGTGTAAAAGTAAAGGTTAAAAAAAATCTAAATAATGTATTTGCAAGTGGGTGTAAGGAATATATATTTTTTTTTTAATTGTGGATTTAAGCATAGATAAAACATACTCCCTTAGATTTAAGTCACAATTGTGTTGCTCTATCACCCGAAAATGTTATTAATGCTAGGTCCAGACCACCCTTAGCGGGTGTCCACGTGTTATGTTTATTCATTGCCACTAATAAGTTCAAGTATAATTATCAGTTTTTATACTCTATATCTAGCATGACGAGCATGACATGCTTTTTAAATGAAGCAAAACTGGAATTGGCAGCTTGAAGAAGAAGAAGAAGAAGAAGAAGAAGAAGAAGAAGCAAAGGAAAGGAATCAAATCAAAGTATCATCTCATCGGTCATCCTCTCCATATTTTAAGGTTATAAACTGAAACAGTCTTAATTTAAAAAGCACTACCTTTTGTGGCTAATAATGGGTTCGGCAAGATACGATAGAGCTATTACAGTATTTTCACCAGATGGACATCTTCTTCAGGTGGAATATGCCCAAGAAGCTGTGCGCAAAGGGTCAACAGCAGTAAGTGATGCTGATTAATGATGTCCTAGGCCTAAGTACCACATAGACCTATGATCAATTATTTTTAGGACTTTAATGTTCAAATAACACTGTGTACTCCACCGTTACTGTCTCCAGTAAACTACACCCATACTAGTTGAGGGTACAGTTTCTTAACTGGGCTATGCTAATATCGATTGAAACTATCGATTAGATTAGTAAACCTTCATGCGATTTTTTCACCATCAGCAAGTTTGGTTGGTTAGGTTAGGTTATGATGGTTTAATTTTATAATAGATATATTTAAAAATATCGATTATTAAATCAATATTTTCAATTTGATAATTTCAATCGATATTAGCATAGCCCATCTAAGAAACTGTACCCCTTCTAGTTGATATACCAGGAATTGAACCATCTCTCCCACACCTCAGTCCGAGACGCTAACGGAGAACAAAGCTAGCAATACACCCATTTGTCTTATTTGCAGAGGTATAAGTATAAGGGTGAAAAAGGCGGTGCCTGTGACCCTGCGTTTTTCGGGGGTCCCGCGCAGTCGTATTTCAGATATTAACCCTCCAAGTGTCTCTAGTTTTGGTCTTAATGTTTGCTCATTTATTGCGCAATCGCAGGGTTTTATTAAAATGTATCTTAGAAACTTAAAAACAATGTACAGTATACTGTTTTATATATCATTTTGTTTGGAAAATTATGGGCTTCAATGTAACATATAAAACATATAAAAAAAAATGTTCAACAATTTTTGTGGGGTTAACATTTCTCAAAAATTATAAAATAAATGAAAAAATTATGTTTGCGCTCAATTGTTATAATTTATAGGTCTACAAATATTTTAAGATAGCCACTTTGTTCAGAATTTTATGAGGATTCCAAAAATATAATAATATTTAAGGAAGTAGATTTGCAAATAAAAAAGTTACGGGCAAAAAACAGATTTCGGTACATAGCGTTTAGCTAAGAATGCATAGCCTAACCATAGCTAGGAATCTGGCTGATAATTTACATCAATATCACTACCTACTTCTTCAGGATCATCAACCAGCCCTTCAAAATCACTTAAATCTTCTTATAATGCACCATGTATATCATTACTGTTGATTTTTAACACTAAAACAACGATAAACAATAAAACACATCAGTCATCGGTGCGAGGTTAACCAAGCTGTTTACAAATACGCACGTCAGCTGTCTGCTACAATTATGATCGGCTCGAGAAAAAAAAGCGCTTAGAGACAGACCTCGGGAGAAAGCTTAGAATCTGCCAAAAAAAACGATACCTAACTCGATCCAGTTCAATCCGATTTAGTCAGTCATAGAGCCTTCACCGTAAACAGTGTTTGTGAGTGGCAAAAGCGACACAAAACACTACACAAAGTGTGTTATGAGTCGCTTTTACGACACATAACACTCGGAGGGTTAAGAGAGGCCCGCTATTGAACTTTGCCTTAGGCCCCGCAATCTCTAGGGCCTCTACTGCTTATTTGACTTGCATTCTTACATCTCCCTTTTCTGAAAGAGGGTACCTAGTTATTATTAAGGAGAGTACACAAACTGTTGTAGTTTGCTTGTTTATAATTAGGCTACCGTACCTATATTTTAATGAAACATGGCAAATTTATTTATTTTAAACTAAGCTATTAATCCATTAATAACAATTCACTTAATTAGGCTACTCTCCCTGTAGCAGCAAACCTAGGTACTCATGAAACCTAATGTTATTGAAATTGATTTAAGTTAATTGAGAATCAAATCAGGGAAATGGAAACTCACTTAATCTACAGGTTTGCTGTGGTTATTTTGGCAATTCCATGAAATGCAGAGACGGTATAATGCAAACTGTGATTGCAAGGATAATGAATGGGTTGCTGCAGATCTCTAGAGGGAGTTCAAAACACCAAACACTGACATTTTTTTATTATTTTAGTTATTAATGGCCGACATTTTGAAACGTCTTGATCAAACTCGACCATTGATAACCTGTGCCGAGATAATGTATTCAAGTAGGCCGACTTTATATGCCAAATTTCATTAAAATCGTTTCAGGCATTTGAGTTTTATAACCAATTCATGGCGACCCAGCATCCTTTTATAGCCGCCATCTTGATGACGTCATTACGGATGACAGAGGTCCTTAAAAATTGGGGTCTGGGCGGTTTTATTTATTTATTTATTTACTTTACCTTCCAACGCTCAAGAACCAATTTACAATATGTTGTATAGATGACTTAATCTAACTTAAACATATACATACAAAAATAATTTTTGACAATGACATGCAGTAAGTAAATACAATTTGAGCAGTATCAAAATAGACGTACACAAAGCAGAACTTTTAGGTTTTAGGTTCAGGAACTTGTATAGGCCTACTAAGAAAAATATAACCACCTAAAGTTGCAGCCTCCCCGCCAGAACTGACATTTTCTGCCACTATATGCAAACAACTATACAACCCCACTATAGATAGCATAATAATTTCCTTCTTAAATAAAACACTTTCTACTTAGACTGCAATGCTAGTTTGACCGTCCAGCTAATTATATTTCCAATGGCAGGTGGGGGTAAGAGGAGCCGACGTAGTTGTCCTTGGAGTTGAAAAAAAATCTGTTGCGAAATTGCAAGAAGAAAGGACCGTGAGGAAAATTTGTCTTTTGGATGATCATGTTGTTATGGCTTTTGCAGGTAGGTATTGTAATAGTTTTCATTTTTGACCAACCATAGACCTATTCAATGAGAAATTGACATATAAATGACCGTCAACATAAATAAATGTGGTTTCCTCTTAATTTACCAAGTCAAGTTAATGTGTTTCTTATTTAGACCTCATAAGTGAATCTGTTTTAATTTCTATGTTAGGATAGCTAATTGGATAAGCTAAGTTACTGTACTGTATGTTTCTTTGTAAAATGCTGTCTTGTACCGAGTAGGATATTCCTTTAAACAACATAGGCCTACCACTGGATTTCAGTAATGTATATTACAATTTTGTTTTAATTCAATAAGAGCCTCTAATTAACTTAATACCATTGTATGAATGTGAAAGGTTAGTTTTGTAAACAGGATTTTTCTGTTATCGTTTACAATGGAATTTGAAACACAGGTTCTTTACTGATACATAGATACATAGATGTGTACAACAGCACCTAGAGATTTCTTAAGGATTCAACTGTAGGGCTTTAATTCTCTGGCCTTTTAAAAGACTTTCTTTGTAAAAGCATCTTCTTTTGTAAACTGATATCCTAATATCTGCACAATCGTTTTTCTAAACATTTAAAATGACTAGGCCTAACTTTTTTATTGTTAATTTGTAACTTTATAAACATCTAAGTATTTTAATTGAGAAGTGATGCGTAAATACAATTCAAACATTAGTTGCCATGACGACAAGAGACCAAATGTTTCTAGTAGTCCTGAATGCATTATCGCTTTAACATTAAATTATAGGCTATCTGCACTGAAAATATAAAAAAAAAATGGCAAGTTTAAGAACATGTAGGTAATTTTGGTTATACCGACCACACCTTGACTTTCTGATACATGTGACATACCATATTTTTCTTACGAACAAATAAACTTACAACCTAGCCTAAGGTACCGACAATTAACCCTGGGACTGCCCTGGCCTGATTAATACAAAATTGCTCGGTGCCCTGGCAATTTTGGCCATTTTGCAGAGGTTATTTAACAGTTCGCAGTACCTAAAGTACTGTTGATAACCTTGTCATATTCATACTTGTTTTGTTCAGAAAAGAAAGGAGATTGAAATATAAAGAATCCCTGTTGGTGGGTTGTTTGCTAAATGTGAAAAATAAAAAAAATTCAAATGTTTTGAATAATTTTCAAAAGCAGAGGAAAACTAAAATTAGTTATTCAAAGTTAGATATAATTTTTGTACTTTACTATAATATAGGTAATAAATATTACACATAGTTTGTTTCAAATTACATATTTCTCGGTGATTTCAGAATCATATAAGATTCATGCTGAAATAATGTATATAATATAGTGGACAGCTAGGCCTAACCTTTAAAATCTAGTAAAGCGATTAACTGTTTAATAGTATCAATTTATTCCAGGACTAACGGCGGATGCTCGAATATTGATAAATAGAGCGCAAGTGGAGTGTCAATCGCACAAACTGACAGTGGAAGATCCTGTGACATTGGAGTACATTACTCGATATATTGCAGGTGAGTCAATTTGTTATTGGTTTGACAGTTGTATAAACACACCAATGTTGATGTTACCAATATGAGTGAGTACCAAAAGAAGATATAGTCGATTTACACATACCTACTAAATGTCAATGACAGTACGCTAAAGTTTTCGAGTCACATTGGCAAAATTCACAATAGGCTTAGAAGCACTAGTGCTTTCCTTCCTCGTACGCTCTCCTGTTATCAAGACAGACACGTCCTTCTACAGCTTATTACGTCCTTGTTTACCTATTTTATTGCACATTGAGTGCAAACGAATGATTTCGTTTGGGGTAACAACAGACTTCAAACTAACTGTATTCAAACTACAAAAAAGAGCCGTAAAATTAATCTTCAACCTCAAATATAGTTAGTCTTGTGGATCCGTTTTTCGTGCAAATAATATGCTGACTGTTCCATCATTTTTTTTATCTATGTCTTAAAACAACAACAAACTAATATTTCATATTTTTGTCAGTCACCCACTACAACTTTAATTTAAGGAAAAACTTGACTTATCCATCCCACTATCCCTTACCACTTATAAAAACCAATCTTTCTCCATGTGTGTTTGTCTATTTACAGTAGACTCCCTCTTATCCGGACACCTATTAACGGGTCATCGGTTTAACCGGACAACACTCGGCGGAAATGACATCTCTTTAACCGGCCAATTTTTATCAGTACAGTACATTGGTTTAACCGGACTAGATCGGCAGGAAGTTGGCTGTACTGAAACGACTGTTCTCGTGGGGAAGATTTGAGACCAGTGATCACGTGTCTAAATACAATGCTCTCCTAAATTTAAGTTGAATATCACAGTTATTCGTCTGTTTTAACGAGTTTTTGGGGATGTCGGCTTAACCGGAAAAACCGTTATCCGGACTGGCCTCGGTCCCGAGAGTCCGGATAAGAGGGAGTCTACTGTAATTCCTTCCCTGATTCAATCAAAAGTAAAAATGATTTTTAAATATCGAAGCATGGTTTGAGGGAACATTTAGTTGATAGGTAATTCTACAGTGTTTCCTCATTTTTTAATTAAATAAGTATGTAGGTACCTTTTGAAGTTTGTCTCTTTGTTTTAAGTGGTCTGATTTTACTACCTATGTTTAGTTTTAGTAACTTTTTCCCTGTACTTTACTATATTCGTGTCAATAAAAAGTTCTGATTCTGATCCATAGGCTACATTTCAATGAGTAGGACGAGTTGTTAGCTTAGTGGTTGTTGCAAACTTAGGTGTAAGAGGGACTTGTTTTTTTCCCGTTCTAGGGAACTACTTTCCCATAAAGTGTTTGAGTTTCTTCCATATAAAATTCTGCTGTTTTGACCCTTGAAAAAAAGGAAAAAATGTGAGCACTATCTAACATAAAGTACGACACTGTTTTTTTATAGGGTTAACATTTTATACACCAAACAAAACGATTCCATCTTTGAATTAAAGAAAAAATATCTTGTGCAGTGTTAGAACATTTGATCTTTCAAATACAAGCTTATTAAACCTTATTCAATTTCACTATTTAACAAATAAAAGGTAATCAGAATTAAATATTGATCAGTAAAATGATAATGAAATGTCTGAACCTTTGTTAATGTGTTAGTTACCAAATTACTAAACTGTTTTAACTTTACAGGATTAAAGCAGAAATACACCCAAAGTAACGGAAGACGACCGTTTGGCATTTCTTGTCTGATTGCTGGATTTGACTACGACGGCAAACCTCATCTCTACCAAACTGAGCCTTCTGGCATCTACTATGAGTGGAAGGTAGATTAATTATGCTATGTCTCAATGTAACTATGGTTTTACTAGACTGTACTTTTTAAACCAAACCCCATGTGGAAACTGAAAGATTTCCGATTTATTTAGTTACTGTACCTTCTTTTGTAGCCTTTGTTTTTTCAGCTATCCTTGTATTTTCTCCAATACATTTTGCCAAGGAGTTTCGGCCCCCCCACCCCCCCCCCCCCATCATCAGCAGCATCTGCAGTAGGATGTTCTTTTTACACTATTTATACAGAATTATGTAGCACATTGTTCAATAAGTCTGTGGCGCAGCATGCTCACGAGGGTGCATAGGGTCGTGGGCACAGACGTGCGAAGAACACTTGTGATTGTGCACAATGTTTGTTTTAATTCTCTGACCTACTGTCTTTACCTAATGAATGTTGTGCTGCTTAGTTCTGTATATTTATTGTAAAAAGAACATGCTACAATCTCCTCAGAAGATGTCACACTGATGCTCCTTGGTGAAATATTAAAGAAAATACAAGAATTTGTGCAAGAACAAAGACTACAAGACAAAGTACTGTAACTAAATAAACATTAAGGGTATATGAGGGATTCTCGTTTGGATATGAATATTAGAGAATTAAGTATTGGCTTTGAGAATAAAAATTTCTGATTTAGACTATCACTACTACCTTAAGCATTCTTCAATCCGTATATTATATATTTTCAAAACTGTGTCGTAGGCTAATGCGACTGGTCGAAGTGCCAAGACTGTGAGGGAGTTTCTAGAGAAGCACTGGACAGTGGATGATGTCGCAACAGAGAAAGGCACTGTAAAGCTGGCCATCAAAGCCTTGCTGGAGGTGGTCCAGTCAGGACGCAAGAACCTGGAGATAGCTGTGATGCGGAGAGGCCAGCCTATGCAGGTAACAGACTTTGGTGGTTCGATTCAATTTCAATAATCTTCATTCTTTGAGTAGCCTCAACCATTATCATACACGCATCATCATACACGTCATTATATACGTTGGTGACTGGTGCAAATAAAATTTGTGCATTTAAGTCTTATAAACTATTTCCTTTTGTATTCCTACTAATTTGTGTGTAAAATTATAAAAAAACTTAATGATAATCTGTGGTGTCCCTTGAAGAGGTTGCTGTTTCTGGGTTAATTTTCTAAACATGTTGAATATGCTGCAAACTTTCAACACCACAGCTGCAATAAACATATGTACAAAAAACCACCCCCGTTCCACATGATTCCAACCAATCAGAACAAAATGGCGGAATTATGGTGCGTTTTAGCGAATTTCCCTTTGGGGAAAGTAACTATTACCGTAGGTCTCATAGTAAGTCCATGGCCCGGGACCGATTTACTTTTTCATTTTGATGTACCCATCTTCTACATGTGAGTTATGTTGTGCCCATCTTCAAGTCTGGTAGTAGCAACGATGTAAAGAATTACAGGCCAATTGCCATTCAACCATGCTTAGCTAAAGTATATGAAAGTCTTGTCCTGGATAATTTACTCTTCCAACTTAACAGTTTTATCATCCCTGAACAACATGGCTTTCTACGTGGTCGTTCGTCCTCTACAAAACTTCTAGTCTTCCAAAACTACATTATGTCAGCATTTAATAAGTCTTCACAAGTGGACTGCATATATCTTGACTTCAGCAAAGCCTTCGATAAGGTTAACGATCGTCTACTTTTAGCAAAGCTGGAAGGCTACGGTATATGTGGATCCCTACTGCGGTGGCTAAGAAGTTATTTGAGTGATCGAGAGCTCATTGTCAAGTGTGATGGAGGCTTTTCTTATCCGTTCCCTGTTCCGTCTGGGGTACCCCAGGGGTCTCACCTGGGTCCTCTGCTGTTTGATATTTTTTTATAAATGACATAAGCAAGGTAATATCATCCAATTTTCTTCTTTTTGCTGATGATATCAAGGTATTTGCGAAGGTAACATGCTCAGACTCCCAAGACCAACTCCAGTCATCTCTGAATAAAATCAGTAAATGGTGTGATGAAAACGCTATGGAGTTGAATGTTGCCAAGTGCCTCACGATGTTCTTCAGTCGCAGTACTGTAGTGCACCCTTACAACTACAGCATAAACGGTGCCATTCTGAAAGTGGTTGATATGGTCAAAGATTTGAGTGTCATAACTACTCCTACCCTCAGTCCCTATGAGCATATCAGCCAAATAGCAAAAAGGGCTTCATCACTTCTTGGCTTCATTTTTCGAACAACAAAAGACCTCAAGAACCCTCTCACACTTATAATCCTCTACAAGACTTTGGTACGTCCCGTGATGGAATACTGCTCTGTTGTCTGGTCTCCTTATCAGTCTTTGCACATCGATATACTAGATAAGATACAAAGAAGATTTATTAGACTGGTTAGTCTTAGACTGGGGTACCACTTTCAGGATGTCCCTATTATCACCCTGGAGAAATACTATGATCTGCAACCACTCAGTCTGAGAAGGAAATGTTACGACCTGCAGTTTCTCTTCAAACTCGTGAATGGTATCACCGACTGCACATCTTTGCTGAATAATATAGAATTCTCTGCCCCTAGAGGAACCAGATCCAAAACGTTATTTGCCAGAGGATTCCAAGCAAGGAATTACTCCTACCATCATGGGTTGTCAAGGTTGCTGAGGTTGGGTGGAGAGGCTTCGACTCACATTGACTTCTTCGGGATTTCTTCTTCCTCATTCAAGAGAGACGCCTCAAGATATTTACAAGAGAGAACATCTTAGAAGCATTTTCCTGCCCTCCTGTGGGAACAAGTGATGTGTAGTTCTTGTTTAAGTGGTGCCTTTAACCCTCCGAGTGTCACGCGTCATAAAAACGACGCACAACACACTTTGTGTAGGGTCACGCGTCGCTTTTAAGACGCACAAACATCGTTTACGGCGAAGGCTCTATGACTGACTGAATCGGATTGAACTGGATCGAGTTAGGTATCGTTCTTTCCGTAATATTCTAAGCTTTCTCCAGAGGTCTGTCTCTAAGCGCTATTCATTTTAGTTCCGAAAATATTGTAGCAGACAGCTGACGTGCGTGTATTTGTAAACAGCTAGGTTCCCCCGGACCGATGACTGATGTGTTTTATTACGTTTATCATTGTTTTAGTGTTAAAAATCAAAAGTAGTGATATACGTGGTGCATTATAAGAAGATTTGAGTGGTTTTGAAGTGCTGGTTGATGATCCTGAAGAAGTAGGTAGTGATATTGATGTAAATTATCAGCCAGATTCCTAGCTATGGTTAGGCTATGCATTCTTAGCTAAACGCTATGTACTGAAATCCGTTTTTCGCTCATAACTTATTTATTTGATAACTTACCTCGCTATATGATTATATATTTGTAATCCTCATTAAATTTAGAACAAAGTGGCTATTTTCAAATATTTATAGGCCTATAATTTATACAATTTCATTGAGCGCGAACTTATTTTTTTTTTGAAAATTTTCGAAATTATATTTTTTTTTACCTAAAAATTTTTTTTTTTTAAATGTTCCTTATGTTTTATATATAATATTGAAGCCCATGATTTTCCAAACAAAATGGTATATAGAACATTAGAATTAACATTGTTTTAAGCTTCTCAGATCCGTTTTAATAAAACCTTGCAAAGGGGCCAAAAATAGGTGGACATTAAGGCCTAAACTATGGACACTCGGAGGGTTAAAGGGCCACACCTTAGTTCTGTTTTGAGGCTGGTGTTACCTCAGCGAGGTGCAGTGCAATAGGTGGTGCCTTTAAAGGGCCACAAATGAAAGTTGGTGCTTTTAGCATGGTGTTTGGTGTTTGACACAGTGTTCTTCCCATGTCATGCATGCACACACACACACACTCCCACAAATTATACTTTTGTTAATACTTCTGTAATATTTTACTGTCTTTTGTTATTATTTTCACAGTTTATAATTTGTTATCTTTGTTGCCATAGTCTATTTTGTTGGTCTTATTTAATCGTTGTTGTTATTGCCCGTTGTAAAGTTACCGTCATTACTGCTTGTTACTTGTTACCATTATTACTAGGCATAGTCTTCTTGTTGTTATTTATTGTAGTTTTCAGGTCCCACTCATGTATTTATTGCCAGCTTCCTTATTTATTATTACTGCACGATTTTTGCACATACACACACACTCCCACAAATTATACTTTTGTTAATACTTCTGTAATATTTTGCTGTCTTTTGTTATTATTTTCACAGTTTATAATTTGTTATCTTTGTTGCCATAGTCTATTTTGTTGGTCTTATTTAATCGTTGTTGTTATTGCCTGTTGTAAAGTTACCGTCATTACTGCTTGTTACTTGTTACCATTATTACTAGGCATAGTCTTCTTGTTGTTATTTATTGTAGTTTTTAGGTCCCACTCATGTATTCATTGCCAGCTTCCTTATTTATTATTATTGCACGATTTTTGTAACCACTGATATTAACTTATTATTTGCTACTTATGTATAGTTCTTAGTTTGACAAAATTGTATTAATGGAGAAACCGTTGGAATAAATAAATAAATAAATAAATAAATGTCCCCAGAGGCCAAAAACATAATTTCTTTCAAATTATATATATCTATCTATATATATGTGTAAGGCGGTGATAAATTTGAATGAGTTTGCAAACCAGCATGATCGGACCATGGGAATGGGGTTTGACGGGGGTTTTAATGGATTAAAAATGGGATTTATCAATTTTTCTCCAGACCTTTTTAAAGAGCTTAAAAAAAAACAAATAATTTAGTATATCAAAGTGTTTTTGTACGGTGACTGGATACAATGAAAATTCCAAAAATTGTTAAATTTAAAATTCCCATGTTATACTTATGGAGAATATTGTGTAAAATGTATTTGGCTTGTTTATGAATATATATTTGATCAAACTTGGCGGATTTATTAACTTCATACTAAGCTATTGATATTTTAATAAAAAAAAACACACTTTATTAGTTTCCCTGTAGCAGCTAACCTAGGTAGGCTACTTGTTAAAACGTTCAGTGCGGCAGGCATTCCAACAGGCGCTCGCCAATGGCAGCGAGGCCCGGGCGAAGTCCCAGCGCGGTACCATAACAGCGAACGCAATTGGCATTCAAATATTTCAATCTGACAAATAACAAAAGAGCAGTGGTGATTGTACTGCACTAGCCCGAGATTGGACGTAGTTCCCTAAAACACCCAAAGGTAGCAGCACTGCTTGGATCTGTGAGTTGCTTTGTAATATGGCTTGAAGAGAGAAAATCCCCGAAACCAGAACAAAAGCATTGTCAGACGGGATTTTACGGGAAGTTTTAGTACCAACCTACACCAAAATAAAGCTCACATTCTAAGCTAAAGGCTAGCAACGATTTTAACATTCCCCGGCAATTTGGCTGAGCTCATACTGAACTAATGTAGTGGGGGTTGCGCAACTACATCAATTGATGTAGGCCGCTCGTGGCACGACTACATCAATTGATGTAGTGAGCACTGAACGTGTTAAACAATAAACATAAAGGTTAATTTAATAGATTAATTGAAAATCAATCCAGGCAAATGGAAATTTGCTTAGTCGGCAGGTTTGCTGCAGCAAGGGTATTTGTTAAGTAATTTAATTTCTAAAATCATTTGAAATTAGTTCTCGGTTGTTTTACAGTGTTATGCGAGTAAGTAAAATTAAAGTAATCAAAGAGATAGGATAGTGGTGCTCATAGGCTAGTCAAAATACGGTCTAACATCAAACTTAAGGTAATAGAATTAAAATATATGGGATTTTGTCAACAAAGGTATACATAACATCATACTAAAAATATAAATCGAGAAAAATCAAAGTGATGGAAAGCTGCCATTTTGGAAAAAAACTTTGTCATATTGGATTTATGTGAGCTTTTAGTAAAACAGCAATAGTTTGACAACTAACTCTTACTAAACAAATCTTACTAAAAAAATCTTTGAAATTTGGTATTGTTTTAATTTAAAGCTGTATTATTTAAACGATACAATATTTAATTAAATGGTATAAAAGTTTGTATTATCTTAAAGTAGACTTAATGAGGAGATTAAGACAAACCGCAGATTTTTAAGACGCTTAGTTGTCAAACTATTGCAGTTTTACTAAAAGCTCACATAAATCCAATATGGCGGATGTTTTTTTTTCAAAAATGGTAGCATTCCGCCACATTGATTTTTCTTGCTTTTAGTATGATGGTATGGACACCTTTGTTGACAAAATCCCACATATTTCATTTCTATTCTTAAGTTTGATGTTGTGCTTATTTTGACTCTAGATTGAATAGCCTATCAGTTGCTAACAGGGACTTGCGAGTTTGTTGGAAAAACAAGAATATTAATGGTCCTATGGTGTAAATATTTTATATCAATAATATTTGGGTGTATTTTAATAAATAAAAAAAATAATTTTGTTTAAAATTCAAATTTTTTATTGTCTTTTTAAAAACTTTTGGTAAATGACATAGTACATGGTCAACACAGTACGGTACACACACAGCAATAACTTGATAAGCCTGTTTACTATTAGAAAATTTACTCAGGCAATATTTTCTTACTGAGTTACTAAATAAAATTTATTGTGTTTTGTTATATTAGGTTTGTACGCCTAGATTGTAAATTTTTGTTTCTTTGTAGATGTTGAACGCTGATGAAATTGAGGAATACGTCACAGAAATCGAAAAAGAGAAGGAAGAGGAAGCCGAAAAGAAGAAGCAGAAGAAATAATTGTTCACAAACTTAATTTTACATTACGCTGTTCTAATACATTTTCTATAATATTCAATTAAGAAGTTTTTCCTTACTATTCCTTTAACACTGAAAAGTAAGTTATTATTAGCATTGAGTATACACATACTAGAGTAGACACTTGATGGGGGCTATTGCTACCTGAACAGCCCTGTTGCAGAGTTGTTTTAGCAGCCCGTGCTACGCCACCGAAATAGGTAAAAACTATTAGCATTAACTTTTAACATTGTTTATACATAATGTAATTAGTTATTTCAAAACGCAAATTCACCTAATTGGATTTACAATGCCTTATTCTTGAAGAACTGAGAAAACCTGTAACAATATTCTCCACCTCTATCCCTTCTCAGAGTTGTGATTATCTACCAAATTTTTTTATGGGAATATTCCAACTCTTGATAAATTTTCTTTTGAAATAAAAGTTGTATTGGTGAAATAATCTAGGAACATAAAAATGTGCAGTACGGTACTTAGAATTAGCAAGAGGAGTCCAATACTTGTGGCCTAAATAACTGGTAGTGCAACTACAATGCTATTTAGTTTAAAAGGTAATTTAGTTTAAATTGGTAGCTTTTGCCATAGGCTTTCAAACACTATTAGGGAGCATGTTTAATCCATGCATTTGCCAAGCAAAATCTCGTTTTTGGGATAAAAATGCCAGAAACACTGCCAGTACAGTACCCAAAAAAATATCACCAGCAGCACTCAACAAGAAGTGCAACTAGTGATTTTATGTTTTAGAGAATTTCCCTATAGGAAAGTAGCTACAGTATTACCGTAGGTCTCATGGTAAGACCTGGGCCCGAGTCCAATTTGCTTTTTTTCATTTTGGAGTATTTTTTGTCTGTTTTTGATTAAATTTGGCTTGAAGCTGTAGGGCAGGGTAAACTTGAATGAGTTCGCGAACCAGCATGATCGGACTATGGGAACGGTGTTTTATTGGGTAAAAATTGGTTTTTCTAATTTTTGACCCTTAAACAAAAAAAATTCCTAATTTCTCTTGGTTCCATTTTTCAGAGCTTAAAAAACAAATAATTTAGTACATTGAAGGATTTTTTACGATTATTGGTCATGGAAAAATTCAAAAAATCTTAAATTTATAATTACCATGCTATTTTTATGCAGAATAAATAAATAAACTGTTGTAGTTTACTTGTTTACACATATATTTTGATCAAACTTGCAAATTAACTTATTTTATACTAAGCTATTTTATACTAAAAACCCACTATATTAGTTTCCCTGTAGCAGCAGACCTAGGAACTTGTTAAACATATTGTTATTTAAATAGATTTAATTGAAAATCCAATCGGGCAAATGGAAATTCCCTTAGTCTGCAGGTTTGCTGCGGCGGGGGTATTTTTTATGTTGGCTGCCAATGAAATAAATAAATATCCAGATCAATTATCCATTGTGGCTATTCTTGAAGAATGGACTAGCCAACAAGTTTGTTTGATCCATGATTTGTACCTTGGACAATAACCATTGACTATTGGTTACTGAAGTATTATTTCTGTCTGTATTTGTATCGATAGTCAAATATATAACTTAATCAATTAATTGATGTTCGTGGAATTAATTACTTCATTGTCACAAGTCCTTCTGTTTCTCAAAAATAAAACAGCACCCTATGGACACAATTTTTTTATTTGTTTATTTGGTGATACTGTACATGAAAACAAAAAATTAACAAATGGATGGCAGCAGAAACAATGTCCAATTACACAGTGATTGATTATCACAAATTTGCATTAATAATAACTTTTTAGCGAATTTCCCATATAGGGAATAAGCTATTACCGTAGTACTCATGGTAAGACCTGGACGTGGGACCGATTTTTTTTTTTTCGTTTTGAGGTCCCTAGAGGCCAAAAACACCATCCGTTCAAATTCATATATATATATATTTATATATATATATATATGTGTCCGTTAGCACGATAACTCGAGCAAAAATGATCCGAATTTGATGAAATTTGGTACAAACGTGTAAACCTACGTTTATTCGAACGAGGTTGCGATCCAGCATGATCGGACCATGGGAACGGGGGGTTTTATGGGGTAAAAATAGGTTTTTCCCATTTTTGACCCAAAAAACATAAAATTTAGCAATTTCATTCCAAATCATTTTGTAGAGCTTAAAAAAACAAATAATTTAGTATATTGAAGCGTTGTTATACGCCTAATGGTTACGGAGAAAATTCCAAAAAATTGTAAATTTAAAATTCCAATGTTATTCTTATGGAGAATAAGTAAACTGTTGTAGTTTACTTGTTTATGAACATATTTTGATCAAATTTGGAAAATGTTTTAATTTCTTACTAACTATTAACATTTTACAAAAAAAACGGTTTTACCCTCCCTGATGCAGCAAACCTAAGTACTTGTTAAACTAATTCTATTTAAATAGGGAATAAATGTTATATTTTTAAGTAGACATTTCAGTGTAAATCCAATCAGTCAAATGGAAATTCGCTTAGTCTGCAGGTTTGCTGCGGCGGGGGTATTTTAATTTACAATCTGTTCAAGTTGAACAATAAGCAAATGATATAAATAACTAGGTGGCGTTCGCAGAGGCATCCACAAAATTGAGCGGAGTCATCAAGGGTTCATATTATATTGTTTTTGTCTTACTGCAGTAAAAACAGTATTTTTTCATGCATGCGCTGCGGGTCTAAAGTAGCATTTTTAATATTTAGGGAGTAAAAATCGTTTTTAGCCTCTATGGAGTAAAAATCAGCTGTTGTCAACTCAGTTGTAAATTTCGATTGTAAACGATTGCATGTATCGAAAATATGTATCGATTTGTGCTTCGTAATCATTTTAACATATTACAGTCTACAGTCTCTTCCCGTAGCATTTTAGCATTGCAGATACATTAATCCATTCCCAAACTCAACACTGCTCACCTTTACTACTTCCTTCACCACACCCTACGTCGTGGACCTGTTTCCCTCTCTTCCCATAGCATTTTAGGATTGCAGATACATTAATTTAATTGCCAAAGACAGTTCCCACACTCTGCGCTTTTAGCCTTACTACTTCCTTCACCATTTACTACGTCATTGGCCTGTTTCCTTCCTTTCTCATAGCATTTAAGTATTACAAATTCATTTATCCATCTGCTCAAACGGTTCCCCCACTCTGCACTGCCAGCTTTTACTACTTCCTTCACCACTTACGTCGTGGACCTGTATTCATCGCTTTCCATAGCATTTTAGTATTTTAGATACGTTAATCTAATTGCAACAAACATCCCCACTGTCCGTACTGCTAGACTTTACTACTTCTTTCACAATTTCCTATGTCTTGGGCATGCTTCCATCCCTTCTCATAGCATTTCAGCATTGCAGATACATTACAACTGCTACAAACGGTTTCCAGTTCCCACACTCCACACTGCTCACCTTACTACTTCTTTCACCTGTTTCTACGTCGCGGATCTGTTTCCCTCTCTTCCCATAGCATTTTAAGATTGCAGATACCTGAATCTAATCGTCATAAACAGATCCCACACTCCGAACAGCTCGCCTTTACTACTTCCTTCGCCACTTTCCACATCGCGGACCTGTTTCCCTCCCTTTCCGTAGCATTTTAGGAACGTTGTGACCTTAATCTAATCGTCATAAACAGTTTCCATACTCCAGACTGTTCACCTTTACTACTTCCTTAACCTCTTCATACGTCACGAACCTCAAGCTAGTGTCGTCATTTGATTATAGTACCTGGGGACCGAGCTTTGCTCGGGGAAAATCATTAGTTCACTCTGAAAGCACCGTAGTATTGGAGATGCATAAATCCACACATCTACATCCTACACAATTTCCTACGTCATGGATCTGTTTCCCTCCATTCCATTGCATTTAAAGATTGCAGATACCTTAATCTAAAAGTCATAAACAGTTCCCACACTCCGGACTACTCGCCTTGACTACTTCCTTCACCACTTCCTACGTCGCGGACCTGTTTTCCTCCCTTCCCATAGCATTAGGATTGCAAATACCTTAATCTAATCGTCATAAACAGTTCCCACACTCCGGACAGCTCACCTTGACTACTTCCTTCATCACTTCCTACGTTGCGGACCTGTTTTCCTCCCTTCCCGTAGCATTTTAGGTTTGCTGATACCATAATCTAATTGTCATAAACATTTCAAACACTCCGGACAACTCGCCTAGACTACTTCCTTCACCACTTCCTACGTCGCGGACCTATTTTCCTCCCTTTCCATAGCATTTTAGAATTGCAAATACCTTAATCTAATCGTCATAAACAGTCCCCACACTCCGGACAGCTCACCTTGACTACTTCCTTCATCACTTCCTACGTCGCGGACCTCCCATGTAGCACAGATGGTTGGGCCAACGTTGGTAAATTGTGGAGCCACACAGTTGGCCAACGGTAGAAATGTCACCTCTTTAAACTGTTTTCCAGCCAACCATTGTCCAACCGTTTTATTTCACACAAAATAATAAAGATTTAGTACGAAAAGCATAATTATTAGTTGAGTAAATTGATTAAATAGTTCATAAAAACAAATTTTGAAAAAAAACTAGAACAAAATTTTTTGGCCCAGACGGGTCTTGAACCCGGGTCCTTCGACTTATGAGCCTCTTACTTTACCACTGAGCCATCTGTGATTGCTGATATAGAGAGTTTTCAAGTGGTGAAAGAGTAGCCGACAGTTGCAATGGTCGCAATACTTCAAACATTTTTGATACTACACAGTATAATATGATTCTGTTAATCTGTTAAGGCATCATAAGTAGTTTTTTTTTGGAGTTAGAGAGGATACTGGTATTTGAATGATTAATTAATTACCGTTAGATTGTTAATGCTATTATAATTGCCTGTTATATGATTAATTACTCTTTCCCCTTAAATTGTTGCAAATAAGTTAAAAAATATTAATTTAAAAAATATTTGCATTATTAAAATTATTAAAATTCATTGTTGTAGCGCCGGAACTGTAATATATAAAATATCTGGTTTTACAATACCTTTATCAGTTCCAAAAACTTTTGGAAACTTTTGGAA